TCCCTCCCCCCTCCGCCGTGACCCAATAACAAAGGCTCCCCCTCCCAGCTCGAGCATGTCGGGAAGCAGCTGTATACCACCACCGAAAGCAACTTGATCTTATGCGAAGGCCGGCAGCTTTCTCAAGAGGAGGTTGAGTACAAGCAGATCTGGATTTCTTCCCACCAAGAAGCCTTGGAAAAGCCTTGAAAACCCTGAGAGAAAAAAAAAACACGAATAGGCGAAGCAGGAAGAAAAGATGAGCTCGACGAGAAGTCGTTACGGAATCACAAGAAACTTGAACGCTCTCCATCTTTTGACCGATTGCTTCTGTTTCCCCCCGGCAGTTCATTTGATCCCCCCATATCTCTTACTTTTATTCCCGTGTCTCTCCCACATTTGCCTTCCTCGTTCTCTTCCTGCTTAATACTGGTCTCTCCCTGACCTTTTGCCAACGTGTTGACCGGACTTAAATTCACGAACACCCATGTCGGTCCACGCAAAGCAAGTCCTTCGCATAATAAACACAGCCATCATCACTTGGACAAGGTCGAGGGTGTTTTCCTTCGTGATCTCGTTGTATCTCAAGATGATAGTGCATTCGGAAGCCATAGAACAATGGTTCAATGCTATACTTGCAGCAATCTTCACCTACCGTATTACACATTCGAAAGAAATATTCAGTGATTCATGACGAACTGCAGTGCGGCGGATGAGACCAGTGTTCGAGGGCGTTCATCATGATGGCACGGCCAAGTCATTCCCCAGTCCGAGAGCAAGTGGCGTGGCTCGAGGAAGAATGGGGCTCCCTCCCTCTCCCTGGCTTGCATACACGTGCACGTGTTAATTATGACCACTGCGGAGTTAAATTTTGCGTATTAGTATAGAATGATATCAAACTTAAACATAGGAACTGAGAAAGCTCACGTTTGATTTTCTTTATTGATCATCTTTCTAGGTTTAATATGTATTCAATATGTATGTTTTACATATATTTTATATATGTTCTTTTACTATGAACTTTAAAAGATGGCATCAATACTCCACAAAGGCCTCTTTGTACATTCTGATGTGGAGATATCATGGCTCACATTGATGTAGATATTCAAGCAAATCCTCTTCAAACGGCCTCAACAAGATTCCTCAGCTTGAGAGAGTTCATTTTTCCTCTAAGTAACTCTCCCTCCCAAAAAAAGGGGAAAATCACATAAGATCAGATCTGGACTGGCAGAAGAGGACGAATTGAATTACCTGCTCGCATTCTTTACGCTGCCTGAAGCTCAAAACGAAGCGAACCCTTTCCTCTGAATTTTTCTTCAGGGAATAAAGGGAACACCTGAGTTGGAATGATTGTTAGAGGTTGTTGTTGCCCTATAAAGAATCATCCATCGTTTATACTCCTTTCGTCGGATTTGCAAGATTCAAGGAATTCGGAGTAGCCATAACTTATGCCTTTGTTTGGAATTAGCCTTCGTTGACGACGAAAAAATGGTTGGCTAAGGGAAGACAGCAATCGAAGGTGAATGCTGCTGGAATCTAGGGCCGCAGTCAGGGTCGGGCTGGCAGCCTAGGTGTTCTCCGGGAAATATTCTAGAATAAGTAAGGGTCCCAAGAACAAGGTGAATTTTATAACTGCATCATAGTTATTCATCATTTTCTACATTTTTTTTATAGCTTTACCAAATTTGGCAGTGCTCGTGGAATCAATATCAGTAAATGGTTATTAGTTGCAATTAATGTTCACTATAATTCCACTTATCAATTTTTTTAGATTATCAGGTCTGGGAGGGGCGCCCCGGGAAATTTTCCGGTTTCCCAGTGGGCCAGTCCGATCCTGGCCGCGGTAGAAGTGAATGGAGCAACAAAATAAACCTGACATGAGGCATTGCTTGTCACGCATTGGATGAGTATACCAAGGGCACAGGAAGATGCAAAACATGACAGACGTGGCTCTACATAGCATAAACCGTTTACGACATGAGTGCCAGGGGTTATTGCCTATGTCCATAGCATAAAAAATCCCATTTCCTGCCATCTTCATTTATTTTTCAAGGAAGGTGCAGCAATCGATGCGTCTCCTGAATAAAATATTTATGACGAACTGGAAGTGTAAGAATGCGACCGAACATCCAGCTTTCACTTGTAGGGGCGTTTCACTGCTGATTTTCTCGATAGTTTCTCCAATATGTCTTTTTTTTTTGCCTTTCTGTCTCCTTGACCGAAGATTTCTTCACTTTGGATGAGATTCCCCAACATCGATTACGGTCAAAACTTGAGGGGGCGTTTCCAGTTCCCAGTGGGGCGAGGAGTTCCAGGTCTACCAAGGAAGTGAAGCGAGGCATTCTCCCTGCAAAGGCATCACGATCGGGAATTCAAATGAAGGGATTCAAATGACAGACTTCCGAGCTCCCACGGAGCCGTACCTGACAGGGGTTCCAGTATCGATCGCATTCTTGATCGCCTCGAATTTTTCTTCAAGAATCTTCTTCTTGATCTGGTATACTTTCATCCTCCCGAAGTGAGCTTCCACCTCGCCGCAGGCGCTTTCCAGGATTTTTGTCTTCTCGTCGTTCCACTTCTGCGGATTCCAGGATGTCCCGAGTATTCGTCCGGAGGATGGAAAGCGCTTGCTCTGAATTTTCACCGGAGGGAAAGACCGTATCTGCGTATCATTCATGCTTGTCGCGCAATAAGTGCCGCATCCACACGATGCGGCTCTATCCAAGCTTCTAACCACCACTGCAGACGAGGAATGGTATGGGGAGAAGCGTTTATCGCCTAGATTTAGGGTAGATGAACATACCACAGGGCCTTGAAAATATTTGCCCTTTTGACATTTTGACGTGAAATGCGAGAATAGCTTCTGGTTGTTCAAGGTCAAGCTGATGTTTTCAGATAGTATACCATCTCCCTGCTTAAATTTTAATGGTATTCTTCATCCGCTGCCAAAAAAAGTGCACGTTTTTTTTTTTTTAGCATGGCTTACAATGCAGGAAAAGACCTAAAGTACAGAGTAGGTTGGGAACATGTTTACGGTCACACTGCAAGCAAAAGAATTCCAGTCTGCACAACAATATAGATGCAATCTTTTACCTGTATGAACATTAAGGTTTCCGCATCCATCATGTTGAGTCAATGTAGAAAAACATTAATTGTAATATGCACTGGATCCGTTTAAGCTAAACTAATCTGATCTCAACAATGGTTCCCTATGGGAATCAGTTTAGCAGAGATAAACCTACGTATTTCCATAGACGCCCATTATGAAAACGAATCAGTTTAAAGTTAAATGAATCTGGTGCATGTCGCCCATTGAATCAGCATTAGTTCGATGTTGAAATGAGACAGGTCTCAATATTGCTGAAGCGTTGAATTCATGCTATGCTCCATTTGAGTTCTCAAATACTGTGAACGCTTCTTCAGTGTGATCACAGACACCTTCCATCACCTATATGGAGATTATAGAGGAGCATTTCGGTCTCATGGAATCAAGGATTATAGCGATTGCAGGAATCAAGGAATATAGAGATAGCGGCCCATGAAAAGATGGCTGGTAATCTCTCTTAGGATATTCCCACGTGATCCACAGGACTAGGTTTAAGTTTTCTCCCTCAAGTTAGGGTGGTCGGTTTAATGGAGTCTGATCGCCACGAAAAATTTATTCTCTCCATTCCTGGGGCCAGTTTCTCGAAGCTTCTAAATCTTTTCTTTTTCTTAAAACGTGCTAAAACACGGCTATTTCTAATCTTTTTCTTATTTCCTTCTTAAAAGCGGTTTCTCGAAAGTTCTAAACTTTTTCTATGCTAAATCTTTTCTTGCGTTTAAGAAAGGTTTTAGCATGGAAAAAGACAGCGAAGGAGGTGTCTTAAACTTTTCTAAAATGATTATCAGCTTGACCTGCATATTTTTATCATTCTAAATGGTACGCAAATATTTTGTTTCTCGAAGGAGCATTTGTTCCACATACTTTCTTCTACATTCGCATGAGACATGGCGACACGGGAACGTTTTCGCAGGCGAAAATTGCTGAGGAGGGAGCGTGTTTTTCGTGATCACCTTAATTCTCTTGAAAACTATAGGGATGATGAACTACGAAAATCGATATCGACTGTCGAGATCCCTCATCCTGGAGATACGTACCATAGCGAGTGCTGGCATTCAATGAGGTACCTTCAGTAGTCAAGCATTGGCTCTTCGACTAATATTGTGCTGTACATTGGGATTCCTCGCTACTGGTGCCATCTATTCCGTGTTGGGAGATGGACTAGGTATTTCCTAGTCATCAGTTCTCCGTGCCATTCATACTGTCTTTGAAAATCTTGCTCAGAGCATGCAAGATTTTGCGAAAGTAAACTCAGTAAACGAAGTGCACAGGCTGATTTGACTAAAGACTTTTAACTCCTTAAAGTTAAGGGGTTTCAGTAGCCCCGTTAACTACCTTAGGTATAGGGTAACTTCGTGGGTTCCTGTCCCTTATGGAGATGCACTTGTCTTTTCGGAAGGTGATCCTGTATGTACAAATCGTTGTCGATAGGAAAATGAAGATACTGAGTCTTGTCAATGGCTATCCAGGCGGATCCCATGACAGTCTCATTTTTGAGAGCAGCTATCTCGCTACTATTGAAGTTGCGTCAGAAGGAAATTCCTGGAGATGGTTGGCTGATGGGAGACTATGGATACCCACAGCGAAGTTATCTGATGACTCCTTTGACCAATCTTAGACTAGGGAAGAGGTTGCCTACAACCAGGGCCGCCCAGAAGGGGGGGTAGAAAAGAAAAAGTTTAGATTTAGATGTTTCGAGAAACACCACCTTCTAATCTAATTCTAAACTTTTTCTATTCTATTTCTTTTCTTAAAGGGTCCGTTTAAGAAAAGAGTTAGAAAAGATTTAGAAAAGATTTAGAAGCTTCGAGAAACTGGCCCCCCTGGGCTCAGAATTACCCTGACTCTCGTTGGGTTGGGTTGCTTCTGTTTTTTTTTTGTGTATCTAGGAATTCCAAAGCCTTCTCCGGTGTCGTCAGTGGAGAAAAGACCAAGTACAGTTCGAAAAGTGCTGAAGATCCATGCCAAGTTGAGGTATATGAGGTATAATTCGCTGTATCGGCGATTCGTCGCCATCTCACTTCCAGGTCAGAGAACCTTGTTTATTCGAATTAGTGCTAGATGTCTCGCCCGACATATGTGGACGTAACGTTGACAGGAAATTGAGCATCCAACTTCAGTGCAACGCGAATTCCATGTTCACGCAATAGTGATATTTTCAACATCGAGTCAATGCCGACTAAGGATTCATATCAGCGTAAACATCCCATCAACATAGTCAACCAATTATCAGCATTTATTCAATATTGTTGGCAAACGGGCATAAAGAGCGATGTTCTCGGGCCCTGCAAATCTAGAAGATCGGAGAATTGAGTCGAAGCACACAAATAATTTCTATCCCCTAAGCCCGGCAGATGAATGCCAGTTGAGCCCGTGACAAAGCTATACAATATATATATATATATATATATATATATATATATATTCATGGAGATAGATATTCGGAGCTATCATAACCTAATTCATCAAGAAGAACGGAATTCTCCACGCTTTAATCGCGAAAGGACCATTAAAACCTGTCCTTTCAACAACTGTGTCTAGGGCCAGAAAACCATCTCTAATGATCCCTAAGCTAGATTCTAGTGAAGGGCTCCATTAATCTACCCCTGTCATTAGAAGCTGGACCCTGTCCCGATAAACTCCATGCGCTGATCCCAAGTAATTTTTTGAACGAGACCTTCAGATCAACGAGATCTTCATCGCCCCGAGTCACAATAATGGGGCATGTGTGATCCTCGTGACTTGCCACACGGACAACATTTTTCGCTTACAGAGTTTGACAGCTTTGTCGTTTTAGTAATGAACCGCATATTTTGTAGTAATTGTTGGGGAAAGGGATACGATTCAAGGAATGAAAGGCATGGAAAAGCATTCCCACCATGAAAGCAGGAGAGTTGTTATAAACGAGCTGAGGGGAATTGGTCTCGGTTCTCTCCTGCAATCGCAAATATTAGGTCTGGGAAAAAGTATCCGGAACTTTTCGACTCATATCTTTGACTCCCTGAAACTTTTCTTGCAACAAACATTATCAATCAAAATAATATCCCTCGCAATCTATAACTTTTCCCCATCTTTCTCAAGAGGAGGTTGAGATCAGATTAGTTTAGCTTAAACGGATCCAGTGCATATTACAATTAATGTTTTTCTACATTGACTCAACATGATGGATGCGGAAACCTTAATGTTCATNCCGTGGATTTGCTTAAACAGGCATCGGGGTACACCTTCTTTATGCGACGGACCGCATCGTTCGCGTTGCGCCCCTTATCGAACTGGAGAAGTAAGCAATGACGGATGTGGTCGTCGACTTTTGCCTGAAAGCTATACACGGCAGATATACAACATTTTACAGAGCTTTTCAGCGTCTTTCTTTTCATATATAACATAGCCACAGAACAAGCTTAGGCGGCGCGGCACGAACCCCTCAAGCTTAACCCACAAAAAGTTCCGGATACTTTTCCCCAAACCTAATACATGGTGGCCGAAAAGTGATAACCCATGGACAGCTTTTTTAAATTTTAATTATCCTTTAATGAGTTAACCATTTCTTTAGTATGTGTAGACAACCTCAAAACCTCGGAATGATGGTCTTTCCTCATTCCATTCTGATGCGACTGAGAATTAATTTCTCTGGCCATTGGGGTTAAGCAAACCCACAAAGTGATTCAGCGCGTCCTCCATTGGTGAGCCACACAAAATTAAAATTCCATCAACGTTGCTTGACGTTCCTGTTGTAGAGCAAACGGACCTACGGATTTTTGGTGACAAATTCTTAAATTCTCATTTTCCTCAAAAAGGACACTAGTGTACATTTGAGAAAACGTGCATCAGGCTGTCACTCTTAAGGATCGGCGAGGCTCTTCAGTCCTCAGGGAAGGATCAGAACAAATTAATTCGCAGCCATAAAGGATAAAAAAAGGGAAGATGTGATCATTCCAAGGCCTGCGGATATTCAATTTACACACATAAATAAACGGTTACTCCAGGTTCAATAATAAAGAAGTTGTCCATGGATAGTCACTTGATGGGCACCCAGTAGTTTGTCGTTGTAAGGATTCCCATGATCGGACACCACATTTCAGAACTGTTATGCTGGAATACAAAACCAATATTAGGAAAAATCAAAGCTCGGGATTTATGGGGTCGGTCTTTGTCTATCTAAAAGCAACACTAGGACAAGAACGTCTAGCTTAGGATGTTGAAAATTTGTCTGCATTCGTACGGGGACTGACCATGTAGGAAAATCTGTGAGGAATACTTGTGACATGGGCAACTACGGTCCTCACGGATGTCTCTTTGTCGCAGAGAACACAGCGATAGGTTGGTTCTGCCCCATTCGTCCCAATGACCTCAAATACGTAGTCCAGGCCTAGTCTCGGAAGAGTTGCCAGAATGAACAACACGAAAAGCGAGCTTACAAGAATGAGCTGCAAAAGAAATTTAAAATAAATGTAAATTATTCGAAATTCATTCGGAATACCAATCAATGGCCGCTCTTTGTAGTCATCCAGGGATGGCTGGATTTGGGACGCCTGTTTCTCACAGAATTGTTCAAGTGAAAACGAGATCTTGACATCTAGTTCCTCTTTGGCCCAATCTGGCCTGATGTTCTCCTTCTCCATCCCTGTAGGTTACAGAAAATATTGAAGTGCAATAGGTCACGTCAAGGGGGAAGATAATGGAGAATAATAAAGACTACAAAATCAATGCATCACAAGTCTCACGATCGGAATTATATCAGTGGCAAAGCCAGGGAGGTGAAGCTTGCCCTAGAATAGGATTGGCGAATCTTGTCAACAATATGCTGATTGTTGCGCATGGATGGGGAGGGACGAGAGGTGTGCTTTACATACGTTATCGGCATACATGCAACCAATCTCAAATTATAGTACCGAAACCATTTGTGTTTTTTTTGGAACAGTGTGCTGCAGAATAATATGGAAAATAAGTAAAGTAAAAGCATTTCTGAGAGATGTTGGCTGGTCTCTTCTCACGATGAGGCTGTCTTTCTGGACGCTCTCCCTCGCAGACACGTGCAAGTATGGAGTTATACTTGCTACCACGTGTCTTCCTGTGAGCTGGCTGGATCGGGCACGAAACTTTGGCGGCCCTACACGGACTTTCGGCTTGGCCGAAGTCTCTGTTTCGTGATGCCATGTGATGTATTCCAGAGTCCGTTTCGCTGCGACTCGATGCGGTAGCCCGAGATTCGGACGTACTTTCAGAATGGCGTCGGCAGCTCAAGCAGATACAAGTGCAGATACGAAGTCAGGGATGAGCGAAGAGAACGGGGAGATCGAAAACAAACGGCCGATGTTTGGAAATCGTCTCCTGGTGGATCCTAATCAAGTTTTCAGTCACAATGCATGGTGAGAATCTTCACACCCCAGAGATCACGACACTGATAGCGTAGGCCTAGCATCGGGCTAGATGCAGCCCAAGATGAATACAGAATCACTTCATACGTTTTCGGGTTAATTTTTTGTTACCTTATAGAATGACTGCTTTTTGGATTGAGTTACTTTAGTTCGCAATGGTGAAATTGTTATGGGGGTACCAAGTGGAATTGGGATTGAATGAAGCCAATCTGAATTTACTGCACTATAATACCAACTACAATGTTAAAAAAAATGAATTTGTACCACCTTTCAAATTCATAGTCTACTTTAGGATCAAAGTTGGGATTGATTTTTTGTGTCTGAAATTAAGCAGGGTCAGCTTTTGTGCACATAGCTGATGTATGATATTTGGATTAAAGATTGAAATGATTGAATTCATGTAAGAAGCAGGGAAGTTTTGTCTGAACTTTCTTCCATTATAGAACCAAGAATTTTTTTTCTTTCCTTTTCCAGGGACAACATAGCTTGGAGTGATGAACAAATTGAGAGAGCTCAAGCAAAAGTCATGGAAATCTCATCAGAGGTGTTGGATAGTGATTCTCAGAGATGCTATGAAGATGAGGCTGATAAGTTTTGGGATAAGTTTTATGGAGTCCACCAAAATAGGTAAACATATATTTGCTCTTCTCTTGTGGATAAATAGGAAGATACTAGTTTACGTACCTCTAGTGACCGTGTTTGTGAATGCTATTTACAGATTCTTTAAGGACAGGAACTGGTTATTCACTGAATTCCCAGAATTAGAAGTACATTCTGCACTTGTGGGCCAGCAAGAGCTGATGGAAAGCTCATATGAAGGGTGTGTGAGCCGAAGACAAATCCTTGAAGTTGGGTGTGGAGTGGGGAATACCGTATTTCCACTTCTGTCCACCCTCCCAGATGATGATCTTTTTGTTTACTGCTGTGATTTCTCACCAGTGGCTGTGAACCTTGTCAAAGAAAATCCTGCTTATGATACGAAGAGGTATGCTACTTTAACTTCTCTTACACTCCCTTAAAAAAAATAACAGAACAGTAGTAGTATCTCTATCTCTAAAAGAGATATCTCATATCTCTTTTAAAATTTTGAATGATTTATGCAGATAATGTGAGCCATCAAATTTTAAACAAACCTGCAGATATCTACAGATTAAAACTAGGATGAGACTGAGTAACTCTTGGAAAGACCAGTATGAACATATATCTTCAAATGTGCTATTGGGTACTGCAGTACCAAAACTAACCCAACCTTACCTAACATGATCTAGCCTAACAGTTTGCTACAACTTAAGAACTTTTATCCATAGAAGTTCTCATCCATTATACAAAGCAAACTGAGACATTTGTTTTTCCATGCTTTGAAGCCATAGTACATTAACATAGAGGAAAAGCTTTAAATGCTGGACTGTCTTGGAGTGCCACTCAAATGAAGGAGGTGAACTGTTTACTCAGTAGCTCAGAGTATTAAGTCATTAGGTTTTCACAATCATGTTTTGAGATAAGACATCACTTTAAAAAGCATAAATTTCTTGTTAGTATATTTTCTTATTGCTGAAAGAGTATAATGGACTAAGAAGGATCACAGAATGTCCAAAATTTAACGTCTGGCAAAATATACCATTCCATAAAAACCTGAACAGTGGGCTATCCCCGGATTAGAGGGAAAATCACCTGGAATCCAGAGTCCCATTTGAGGCAGAGCTACTCATGGCTGTCCTTCTCTGATTGAATTTGTGTCCTAGCATGAAGGGGAATGAGACAGGGTCATATGGTATGTGTGAGACAGGCCAAGAAGGGCCAGACTGCCTTGGGGCTCAGGATATATTTGGGCAAACTCCTCTTCCTTGCTTCCACTGCTCAGCTTTTTTTGGAAATGTATATTAGGGTGCCCCATAACCTGCATTCAGGTAAGGTATTCAGAGAAAGTAGAGATAGGGTCACTATTGAAGGTAACATCCAAAATGCCAGGAGATCAAGTCTATCCCTTGTTAGGGTTTAATTATGGCAGCCAGATTTTTAGACTCTTTCATGGGAATCACTCAGCCCTTGATCTTGTGAACTTTTGGATTTTCCCCTCATTATCAAAGCATTCTGCTGCCTTTCAGTCTTTGCCCTCCTAGGTCAAAAAAGGCTTCCTTTGGCTTCTTTGGTTGCATTACATAGGATAAAATGGGATAATTTGAATTACTTCTTCATTTCATGTCATTCTTTTCCTGCTGTAGATCTTGGGGCAATTTTCATAATAAAAAGGCTACCAGATCAGATATTTTGGTGTAAATATACATTATTCAAGAATGCACCACTGAAAAGTATGCATTATTATGATGAAGTAAAAGAAATACATATGGTTGTCAGTGATAAAACTTCCAGAGTTTGAATATAAAATGATTTCCATAAATTTTAAAAATTGTTTTTCATTTTACAATTCTGAAATTGTTTTACACCTAGATTACTCCTGAACTAACAACATCATGTTAACTAAACACCTGGTCCCAAGATTTATTCTTTTAGGGGGGAAAAGCAATTTGCTTTACACTCAGATATGCAAAATATGGGTAAAATGCTTTGAGAATGAGAGCTTCTTTACCCTTTGAAACTACCATAATCAAGTTAACTTGAGTATGGTCTATCTATTCTTGTGCCATTCTTCTTGTGCTTCATACTGGAAAATTCTCAGGACTATCTTAACCAGTCTGGTTATACACTTATATATTAAGTAAATGAGGGAACTTATATTAGGCGGTGCAAAAAAGTGCATAGTGTTTTATTCCTTATAAAATCCTTTGTGGATGATCTATGTTCATGACATTTTCATATTATCTTGGAGACACCACAACATTTTTTTCTGAAAGATTCATAGAACCTGAGTTGTCTGAATAAATATCGACAGTCACCCAAAGTGGACTCATAAAGTGGACCTTTCCACACATAATGAGGATGGAGTTTCAGGACCCCTCAAATGATTTCTCTACCTTGACATAATAAATACTACTTTTATACCAGTTCTCATCATAGTATTCAACGCATCATAGAATAATGCTACTGTCATACATCATAGCATCAGAATCAATACCATGCAGAATACTATGATGAGAGCTGGCGTAAAAAGCAGTATTTATTACGTCAAGGGAGAGAAATCATTTGAGCAGTCCTGAAACTCCATCCACCTCGTGCACAGAAAGGTCCATTTTATGACTCCACTTTTGGCAACTGTTGATATTTATTCAGCCAACTTAGGTACATGAAACTTTCAGAAAACAAATTTTATGGTGTTTCCAAGGTAATTAAGGCGTCAAAACATTACGTTTTTTTTTGCGCCACCCGGTATATTTTTTTAAAATAAATAGGCATACTACTGTGTACCAGAAGTGAAAAATTCAACACAGGGATTTGTAAATAAAAAGAATGTAGCAGTGAAAGGTTAACAGTACTGATGACAATTAGCGTAGAAGTTCTGTTTGAATTGGAAACTCTATGAACTCTTATGATGGTAGAAATATACAGAGATTCTTGTCATATAATTTTGGTGTTTTTAAATATGACTACAATTGTGAGGGGGAAGTAAAAGGTTGTTATCTCTATTAAACCCAATGCACCTGCCATGTGGGGATCTCAAGAAGTTGCATGTCCTCTTGTCAAAGTAGCAGAATCAGTTTTCTTTTTTAACACGTTGACTGCCTATGTCCAGTTAACTAGTCATCAATCACAGCAGAACCAATCACATATTGGTTGGGATGGAAATGAACCTTCTTAGTCACCTGGGGATGTTGTACTTGCTCCATTACATCCAAATTCTACATTTTCATGGCCTCATAAGTACTTTTTTTACTCTTCCTTTAGGTGCCATGCATTTGTATGTGATGTATCTGATCCTGATGCTGAGGTTCCTTTCCCTGAGGGCAGCATAGACATCATAACACTTGTCTTCACCATGTCTGCAATTCATCCAGATAAGTATGTCCTTTTATTTCCACTACCAAGATGGGACAGAGAGTTTTTGATGCCCTGAAAATCATATTGATATGGTATTACAAAGTATTTATGGAGTTGTGATAGAGTACAAAGTTTTAACTTTAGAAGGTAATTCTTTATCCTCTTGAGTTTTATGAGGGTGTAGAAATATCTTCTAGACCAATCTCCCTCCTTAGTTTGGATTTCCTTTTATTAGAGAACATAGGAGGGACAGTTTCAGTATGGAAGTGCAGTCATGAGTTCACACTTCTTTTAAATTATAAGTTTTATCCTTTGAGCAGTCTGCTCAAAAAAATTAAAGCTTTCAATTGAGTGCAAAGTGGAGAAAAAGAGTAATGGAAGTGAAAAAGGAAGACAAGCCTTAAGAGGCCTTAAAAACTCCCTTGTATACACCCTCTTATTTCATTTTAATTTTGTATTTTATTTTTATTCGTTTATTTTTGAAATGAAGAATATAATTTCTAATGCAGAATATGACTCGCATGCATGGCACTTGATGTGACCAGTCTCACTTTGAATGTACTAATAAGCTGGATGCTTACCCACATGCTGCTTTTAAAAAGTAACATGATGCACAGTCATCCTTCATTTGGATTTATATTATACCTGTGATACAAATGGAATAAGCATAGGGTAAAATCCAAATCAACTTTCTTCCAAGATCTCAGATGAAGCAAGTTTGATGAAAATTGTTCTTCCAATCAACCAGAGCAGAGTAATGTGGTCTGAATATAAGAACAGGATTTGTGGGCACACAAAGTAATGCTCTAATTGAGTTGTAGAAGAAGAGAGCATTTATGGAATGTCTTAATGTGTTACGCAACCTATACCATAGGATCGTAGAAATATGATATCTATAGTTAGAGTGACATTCCTAACTTGTACAGCCTATATAGTTCATCTTTGCTACACTTCTGATCCTCAGATTCTCAAAGCCATTATTGAATGTCATTTGTCCTCCTCTCCTATGAGGGGAGAGAGTGACCTCTATTGGGCAGTGGCATGCAGTGCCTATGGGCAACAGGGCTGAAGGCATCAGAGCGATTTTGAAAGTCTGGATTAGATGTCTGGCAAGAGCCATGAGCTTTCAGCTAGTCCATCATTGCTAACCTGTGAGCCCCTTTTTTTAGTTATTGACGAAAGTGTGACACTGCCAGATTAATAAGCTTATACAGGAGGCTACACTGGCTTGGCACAGTTAAGCTGGATATACCATGTTTGTATTATCAATACCATGGGCTTAACACATTCCTGAGTTTCCACCATCTAGTCAAGGTGGTGTAGATCCATTCTAATGGAGTACATTACCATACAAAATAGAAATAGGCCAGAAACTTACCAGGGGAATTGTGGATTACCAATTAGAGGGCTTGAACTTTGTAAATCTGGAATCTGAGTCATGGTCTGAATGCATCCATGGAATGGTCCAATCAGTTTTGTGCACACTTTGCATCATTTTTCAACACCAGACATCAAGCAGCAAATCCATATGTATCATTCAGTAATCAGGCTCTTACTTACAATCCTTGCCAATATTCATACCAAACCTCCAATGTCCATCAATTTTTTCAAGGAACATTTACAAAAAAATTGGAAATATCTTCAAGACAGTGATACTTTAGGATGTATTCTCAAGCCATGCCCTCCATTGCCCAAAGATATTGGGTTGGAAAGAAAGTCTTGCAACACTCTGTGCAAATGTTTCAAAATTTTATGGCTTTATTTAAATGCAATTTCAGTCTACAATGTAATGACTATTGTTGTCTATGACATGTTCCCAATGCATGGGTAACTGCTCAATGCCCTTTGCCCAGAACTCTGGCGATTGCGAAGCGAAGAAACGGCTGACATCATTTTCGAGCTGTGCTCGATCGTCGAAGGCCTTGTCCCACAGGTGATTCTTGAGGGCCCGGAACAAGTGATCGTCGGAAGGGGCCAAGTCCGGAGAATACGCTGGATGGGGTAAAACTTCCCAGCCTGGTTCCAAAATCATCTGGCGAGTCATCTTTGCAACACGTGGATGAGCGTTGTCATGCAGAAGGAGAACTTTGTCGTGTTTGGGATGCTCTTTTTCAATGATGCCAGCCAACTTCTGAAGTTGAGCAGCGTAGATGACAGCAGTCACTGGTACCGGTTGGCAGGAGCTCACAGTACAACATTCCTTCTGAATCCCACCAACAGTAGAGAAGAACCTTCTTCTCGTGGAACCCTGGTTTCGGTTCGTGTGGTGGCAATTCTCCTCGTGGAAGCCACTGTCTCTTGCAAGTATGGATGACGTAGCGGACCCAGCTCTCATCTCTAGTATCGATTTCCTTCAGAAGGTCCTTTCTGTGCGGATGAAGGAGCAGTGATTTGCAGACACTGACACGGCTCAGAGTCGCTGAGCTGATGAGGGACCCATGTCGAGTAAACCTTCCAATAGCCGAGGTCATTCAGATGGTTGCTGATGGTCATATGGGTGACTCCAAGTGTAGTCACCAATTCACGAGTGGTGGCATTCAGCTTCGCGTTGAGGGCTTTCCGCAGGGCTTCGTCAGAAAGTGTTGCAGTCTTTCTTTCCAACCCAATAATAAGGAGAAACTTTAGGCTTTCTACATAGTGTCTTTTACTTCCATAGTTTTGATAGCTTTTTTTCAAGCATCTCAAGGTGTCTTGTTTCTTCCCCTTCCCATTGTTTTCAGTAAGAAATAATAAGCAGGGCAAGCAAAAATCAGTAATAGACCTTTCAGAAAAGAATAGCTTCATTTTGTCATGTAGTCAAGCAGAATATACAGGGTGCCCGGAAAAAAGTACACCATTATATATTTATAAGTTTCTCGGTAATTAGGAAGCCAAACTGCCTAAAAATTGGAATAAAAAGGGTTCAATTAGTCAGGAAAGACTCCTTGAAATATCAAGTGGATTTGTATCACATGATCCATAATTTGTGTCCTTTTATAGCCATCATCAAATTTACATTTAAGTTCAACTTTTTGCCCTGTAAATTTACAGTACTCGGTATCTCAATTTATTACACTGCCGAGTATTTTTCACTAAATCCTAAAAAGTACCCTTATTCAACTAAAAATATCAGAATATACAGGGTGCGGCAAAAATAAACGGACAAATAAAAAATGAAATAATTTTTTGGGAAGTAAAATTTTTTTTTAACCAATGAGAATAAAAACAAAGTTTACAATCTTGGGATCACAATAGAATCACTTCTTTTCAAAATGGCCGCCTCCTGCTTCAATGCGCTGCTTGAGTCTCTGGAAAGTTGTCAACAACTTTGCTCACTGTCTCCAAAGGTAAACTAATGTGCGAATTGTTCCTTATTTGCAATGATTTTTGTTGTTTTTGATTGAACTGAGACAATAAAGTAAACCATTTGGTTGATTTTCGAGATCATGTCATTAAATGATATGAATTCAGGTCAAACTGATCTGCCTAATATTTTAAGGCATGTTTCTTGACTATTTTAATTATTTTTATTTAAATTTTTAGGCAGTTTGATCTTCTGGTTGTTTAGAAACTTATCAATATATAATGGTGTACTTTTTTTCTGGGCATCCTGTACTTAGGGAGGAAAAATGGCACAATTCTCTCCCATAGCTGTCAAAAAGGATTCATCTGAAGTGAAACTTATATCATCAGATGCCGCTATTTATCCTTTTCTGGATGACACCCAACGTGTGCCTCCAATGTCTATAACCTGACGTGTTAATGCTGCAGACGAAAATGAAGACCTACTTCAGGTTTTTTTGTACTGGGAAGGCCATTGAATATGACCATTTTTACAGAATATTTGATCTGCTTTATTATTATAGTTAAAATTTGGCCAGTAAATGGATTCGTCTTACCTCCATCCATCCTGCATTTGGGACTGCCAGTTTGAGCAAGTTTCAATTATTATACAATCCTCTCTCATATTCTTGAGTCATTTCTCAAACTACAGGGTGTCCAAAAATTCACCTGACCCAGAACCTAAAAATGTATTATAAATGAATGAGGGAAGGTACAGTGACGAGGCTAGTCTTGCTTGGAAGCTGTGGTAACACTGTTTGAATGCACAAAAAATCAATAACATGAGATAGAAATTACAGTCACAAATAAACACTCAACCCATTCCAGATGCATTTCCGATTTTCGGAAAATCATGTTTGTGTTTGGCACTGGAAGACTGAAAGTTCGGTGATGTTACAGGAGGTGCTGAAAGTGTCCACTATTGTTATTAGCACTCTCATTCGTTTCCGCATATTCTGGAACACTCGCCGCAGAGTGGTCCTGTGATGTTGGCGATGCAAGTCGTGATGCTGCGTTGCAAAAAGGAAAGGTTCTTCGGGGAACGTGTCAGCAAAGGACTGTGGCCTCCCAGGTCATCTGACCTGACACCATTGGATTTTTTCCTTTGGGGGTATCTGAAGGAAGATGTGTACAGCGACAATTCGAGGGACCTTCCTTGCAGCGTGCTAATAACATGGGCGGACACTTTCAGCACCTCCTGTAACATCACCGAATTTTCGGTCTTCCAGTTCCAAACACAAACATGATTTTCCGAAAATCGGAAATGCATCTGGAATGGGTTGAGTGTTTATTTGTGACTGTAATTTCTATCTCATGTTATTGATTTTTTGTGCATTCAGACTGTTACCACAGCTTCCAAGCAAGACTAGCCTCGTCACTGTACCTTCCCTCATTCATTTATAATACATCTTTAGGTTCTGGGTCGCGTGAGTTTTGGGACACTGTATAATTCTTCAAGACTGACTTCATGAAACATTCTCCATGATAATGCAATTGTGTGAAGGCTATCTGTTGGATAACCTGCTCTCGAATCTATTTGATAAGCAGAGAACCAATGCTCCTCATCCTTCTCAGGTATTTGGTATTCTCATAGTCATATCTCACTGTTATACTTCAAGAATCGTGTTCCTTCCCTTGTCTCGGTCTACATAAGTCAAGGAGAAATGGTGTTGACATACGTCCCTGTTGTTCCCTGTCAATGTTCTTCCATGCCCATTCCATTCATTTCTTTCAATCAAGCGATCTTTTAGAAAAAAGACAGTTACTGCATCCTATGCAGATTGATACCTTCAGCTCCCTGAGTGCGAGGGCTTATTACTCATACATGCATTCCAGCTGAAAAACCCTCTCCCTCTAATTGCTTGACTACAGCAACAAGAAACAGACCTCCTTCCATTTATTGATTAACCCTTGGAAGAGTCAAAGAACCATGATAGACTTAAGGCCCTGTTACACTTGACAAGTACTCGCTAGGGCTACTAGGGCCACTCGCTTAGTGTAACACCTCTTACTAGCGAGTACTCGCCTGAAGTTTGAAATCTTTCAAACTCAGCGAGTGCTAGCGAGTGAGGTGTTAAACAAAGCGAGTGGCATAGCGAGTCCTCTCTAGCGAGTGTGATTTTACACTAAGTGAATGGCCCTAGCGATTACTCGCCAAGTTTAACAGGGCCTATACGTCGACATACCAAGATTGCCGTAAATATCATAAACCTCCTCTTTCCATAAATCAGTCCTATCTCTGGTCTTGTGGATAAAGTTTCTGCATGTTCAAGAAATGCGGAAATTAAGAAAAAGACTTAAAGCTAGCTAAGTCTAGCTTGTAAAGTGGCCATAGACCTAAATATGGGCTATGCTTGACGTTTTCATGCAATACCTGTTTCAATTTGTCTTGCAGGTCATTTTCTCAAAGGAAAGGAAAAGTTTCGCATCTTTCCAACGGCCGTGTTGCCATCGTGATCTAGAGACAAAGATTTGGTTTGACGATGAAGAATCATTCTGGGGCTACAAAAGACTACTGGAGAATCGTTGCCCTCTCACGTGCAGCAATTATGTTTTCCGATCCTTCAAGGAATTGAGGAATCATGTCCGCAAGGAACATGAGCTCTTCTACTGTGACCTCTGTGTTGATAATGTCAAGGTCAGTCTTTTCAATCTGTTGGTATTTCTTTCCCAGGGTAAACCTGGTATTATTGGAAAGGAATCAATCGTCATTCCTTTTGTTTCCTAAAATGTTTTATCTGTATCAGAAAATTGTGAATTTGGAGTACGTTAATTTTTGTATGCATATCTGCTTCCGTGTTTCGTGCTTATAACTTTTATTTATTTATTGATTTATAAACGTGGACTGGGACGAACACACGAAGACAACTGCCACAAGCGGCTGAACACTTAGTGGGGGAAAGGGGATCCGTATTGGATATCTATGGTGACATGGTCACACCTTCCCACCCTTGCTGTCACTATAATATCCAGCTTTCACGAGCCCGGAGAAGGTGATGGCAACTTCGATGCCACTCAGGCCCGAGGTCCTCCATCGCTGCACATCGGGCCGCCAGGGTCAATGTGGCGGGTGCTATTGAAATGTACCAAACCCTACCTCTCAGAATGGAGCAGAGTGGCATCTGCTGGAGCCCAAGGGAGAAGCAGGTAGTGCCCAAAAGCAGTCGGGAGAACACCGCCTGCCGTCAGTTGGATTCGAACCTGGACCTCCCGCGTGCTCCAGGCGCCCCGCCGTGGCTCTGCGGGTTGTTAATAAAGCTTAATTTTTGCTGCAGTGGTTTACAATTAGGTTTATAATTTAGAGAATATGTATAATGGATAAATCAGTTCTCGATGACTGAGAGGTAAAACATAGAATGGTCTTCAAAATGCAGTGAAACATGAGGAATTAGTGTCTGATGTTTGTACTGGCCTAGATGGTGACAGGTGCAGCCTATTTTCATTTTCACTCTTTTCTAGTAGTAGGTGACAGCATAAGCGTAGCGTGGATGGAGGAAGTGGGGGCGGGGCACGGGATCTAGGGGTTACTGATATGCATTTCACGGGCCTTTTGCTTCTTTTTGGCTTTTCTTGAAAAGTGGGAGGGCACGTGTCGCCGCCCCCTTCCCTTCCCCCCCCCCCCCCACCCGACGCTACGCCGCTGGGTGAAGTATGTTCTGGAAAATCCATTAACGGTTCTTACTGCCTACTAGAAGTCTGAACGGTTAGTGTTTAACCACTTACTAAAATTCAGTTTCGATTATCTACTGTGGTACATTTCCCTCCCCGGTGTTCAACATAAAGGGAAGAAAGCAATGTTAGAAGAAAGCGTGTATTGCCCTTTTTCTTTTAGGAACCTCTTCTCAAACCCCCTCTCTTGTCTGGTACAAAAAAGGAAGAGACATTCTAACTGCGTCCGATTTTTTTTTCTCTGATGATCGATGTAGGATATGAATTTCAATCCCTCTCATGTAAGGTTTTCGCTCCATCCCGAATCGTGAGAGGAAAATGTGATTCTTAATTACGCTGTCCTTAATTTTTTTTCCCACTTTTCCTATATTGTATTCTTTTTCACGTAATGCCAGTTATATCCTGTCTCACTCTCTGAGTTTCATCTGGGTTCTCAAGGGCTCATTTGGGAAGGGAGATGCTTCTCTTATCCTTCACTGCCCAACTCTAGTGGAAAACGTGGGGGAATCTAGGAGTGGGATGACTTCTGTCCCTTCCTATTAGTCAGAGGGAATTTTCTACCTCATTGGGAGTTTTCCTTGAACTTCGGCCAACCGTCTGGTAATCGGAAATTGAGACCCCTACTTCTCACATACCATAAATTTACCTGGTCTATTGCAGATTTTCACTTTCGAGCGAAAGGGCTATTCGCGCTCTGATCTGGCTCGACACAGGCGAACAGGTGACCCAGATGACAAGTCGCACAAGGGACACCCATTGTGTGAATTCTGTGATGTGCGTTTCATGGACAACGATGACCTCTACCGACACCTGCGGAAAGACCACTACTTCTGCCATTTTTGTGATGCCGATGGAGTTCACAATATTTTTTACAGGTGACTGGTGGGCTTACGCGTTGAGGACAGTATTAGGGACAATCATTATTCAATATATTTTATTTTTATTCTGCAGCGATTATGAGCAGCTGAGGAAGCACTTCAGGTCAGATCACTTTCTATGTGAGGAGGGAACCTGCTATCAAGAGAAGTTCACTTGTGCCTTTCGATCCGAAATCGATCTTAAAGGTTAAATTTTTGTGTGAAGTTTGTGAAAGCCTTCTGTTAAGCCTTCTGTTACTGTGAGCGTTTCTTGTCTGATTGCAGCCCACAAGGCACAGAGACATATCCAGAGCTTAGGGAAGGCAGAAGCAAGGCAGGCAAGGACACTAGAACTGGAATTCAGCATTGGGTCCAGGGGTAGGGGGAGACCTCGCCCTGGGCAGTCGCCTTCCTCTGCTACTCCTTCTACTGTTCCTCCCTTCTCAAGCATGTGAGTCATTTCATCCCCCCCTTCCACTTTTTTTATAATTACCATTTCTGCCTATCCCTTTTGGAAAGTGCATTCATTGATGAGGAAAAACAGTAAACCGGGAAAATTGTAACCATGAACTGAACTGTTCATATGTGTCATCTATCCATGGTTAGGAAAATGGGTGTTGTGTGGGAAACTAAGGAAGTGGTTGGTAAAAATGGTTAAAAACACTTGCTGTTGGTCACCAGGTGGTGACCAACAGCAAGTGTTCTTACATCTGCCAGTGGACATCCTTGTTCATAATGGCTACCTTTTTATTCCCTATTCCCTGTTGTTGTCACCTGTCTCTCTCAGTTGAAAGGTTTTAATTGAAAGGTTAGTTTCTGCTTTCTTTTACTCTTTTTTTTTTCCTTTTTTATTGTTTTATGTTCTCCTAACCTTGGAACCACTGCAACCAGTGGAGCTCATTATAGTCAAAGACAGTAAGTGGGTTTTCTTCCTGTTTTAGGTCAAATGTGACAGTGACATCAAGTACCATCATGTCACCTGCCAAGGGCCCTCAACCATTGTTCTCATTGGAGCAGCCCATCATCAACACTCAATCTTCAGAAGAGTTTCCATCCCTTGGTCCCAGTGGAAAGTCTGTCTCATCAGCAGATGGATCTGCTGACATCCCTCCTTCGATGGACACTCTGGCTCAGCGTCTGGCCAAACAGAATCGTTTCACTACTCGCTCTACTTATTCTAAACCTACACACAACATCATGGAAGATGAGGAAGAATTCCCATCTTTGGGTGCAACCCTGCGAGAACCTGGAAATCAGACCAACATTGTTGTTACTAGTGGATCTGACACTGGACTCACTGGTGACTGGAACACAGTGAGGGTGCGGATCAATAGTCAGGATTCTTTGCATCCCACTACTTGCAAGTCTCAAGGCAGGACCAACAACATCTCATTTGAACTGAACCGTCGGTGGCCCAGTCCAAGTGAATCAGTGCAGGGTTCAGTAGGTGGTGGTGCAATACCTAAGAAACGTCCCCAGGCAAGAATCACCTGCATTTCCAGCAGTGAGAACATAACAGTTCACCCTCCAAAGGACAATCCCCCTGTGATCAAGACAGACCCAGTCTCCTTGTCTAGCATCAGCAGCAGTCTCTTATCTTGTCCTAAACAGGACTCAGCCCTGGTGACCTCAAAAGATGAGTTTCCTTCGTTGACCCAAGTGGTAAAACCAGAAAAACTCTTACCAAGTCATAGAAGGCCTCAGAAAAATGGACTTCATGGACAGAGTGTGCAGAGGTCAGAAGAAGCTGAATTGGAATGGGAGAGCTCCCGATCCCTGAAGGGGGGAGGGAAGAACAAAAAAGGCAAGAACAAGGATGAGGCAAAGCAAAATGGCCTGGAATTCAACCTCAAGTCCTTGAATGTGGAGCCTGTGGAAGAAAAGAAGGGCACACGAGCCCCACCTGGTTTTTCAGGTGTTCCTGAACGCCGTAGCCCACCACCAGGCTTTACTGTACCACTAAACCTGGCAAACTCTATCCGAAATCCATTTGGAGACATCCCCTCTCCCACTGAGATGACCTTCACCAACAGCTCAGGAGAATCTTATTCCCTGGCCAAGTATGTTCCACCAAAAGATTTTGGCATCCGCAATCAGGAGTTGCTGACCAAGATCCTCGTGATACTAGGTGGAGACTTGGAAAAATTGGATCTTTTTAAGAAGATGTCATCTGACTTCCGCACTGGATGCTTGGATGCACTTGAATACCATACACAATGTTCCAACTTGTTTGGAGATTCATTCCAGGAATCTGTGTTTCCAGAACTGGTGTGCCTTCTACCAGACACAGGGAAGCAGCAGGAATTGGTTCAAATAGCATGTCTCCTGTCTTCAGCAAAAGACTTGAAAGTCTGGCTGAAGGACAAAGGTTTGGTCATGTGTGACCAAGACACATGTAAGCAGGTGGTACAGTGGCATGAGCTTGGTGACCATGTCTCCAGCCATGTGTTCATTGCTGGTTTCCCAGCCCTCCCAAAGCCTGGCAGTTGGTGCAGTGAAATCTTGTGATTTCTCATGCTAGTCCTGAACTGCTTCACTGACACCTGGTGCTGCTATTTCTGAAAAAAAAAAATAGAGAAAGAGATATTGTCTATTGTGTGTCATGTGCCTTCATATGTTATGTGAGTTTGGTCTCTTCTCTTACCACCAGTCTCTTTTCTTTGTACCTCTTTCCAAGGTTATGAGCTGGTCATCTTTGATTCCACTTTCAGTTATCATGAAACAATACCTAACACAGAAATTCATAGGAGTTTATTACATTTTGTTTTGCCATTGAGGAAATCACTGCCTTTAGTAAGTGGGGAAGATTGGTCATATCTTTTATCCAGCTTTGAATTACAGTACCTCTAAGAGGCCTCTCCAAGATATTTGCTTCATACATGACTTTTTCTTGTTCATTCTATGAAGTTTGGTGTTCATTCCTGGGCTTAACATCCATGTACAGGTTTTGTTGGATGCTTTCTTCTCTTGTTGCTCAAGAAGCTATTCTTGTATGTCCCATGCATGCCTTGATTGTCCTCTTTGATCATTAGGTCTTTTGATGACGGAATGAAAGGTGCTGGGCTTTGTTCAGAGTCTGAACTAGTGGATTTTTTTTTTTTTTTAGTCTCTTCCAAGATGAGTGGGTGGTGTTTCCCACCCCCAAAGAAGGCCTTTTTTTGGTCTTTTTGGACTGTGTCCTAGCTTGGGGTTGTGGCCGACTTCTGGGAAGATTTTGGTTAGAGTCAGACTTTTATCTGAGGCAGTCAACTCTCATTTTTCCAAGTTCTGATGATTTATGCTTTCCTAAATGCAGAGAAAAGAACTTGCTACAGGAATGACCCCATTGATCCCATAAATGCAATCACTCCATCTTTAAACTCCATCCCAATCCATATCTTTTTCCTTCACCTGGATTAATTCTATGAACTCCATGCCATTGTCATCATGTTAATGTGAACTTCCAAGGATATCAGTTGGAGTAAGAGTGCCAATAAGATAAAAATATTTTTCTTTCCTCACAATCCTCATGCCAGGGAAAAGGAAGCTCCTGGTTATCATACACTCCTCTCCATTTCACTGAGAACCAGGAAAGTATGAAACCTTGGAATCTCTGCTGGGAGAGTTTTGTACAGGGTGTCCCAAAAGGTATGGAAACATTTTAAAAATAAATATCTCCCTAAATATTTAAAACAGTAAAAGGAAGTGCAACTCAAACATTTTAAACCTGTTATTCCAATTCCACATTGGCCCCATTTGTGATTCTGTAGATGTTCAAGCTCTTACCACACCTTGTACAGAGTGTCAGGCATAACTGTCTGGATAGCTGGGATGATTCTGTTCTTTAGATCAATAGTTCCCTATCTTTTTTTATTTGCAGCACACATAAGGACACTTGAACTTTCCACGGCACACCCAGCCATTTACTTACTTTCAATGGGAAACTTGTGCATGCTTCACTGAACACAGCAGTTTGATACGAGGCGTCATAGCGCAACTCTAAGCTCATTTTCCACTGAGAGACGGCTTTCACTCTTGCTTTTAAGTTTTTTTAGCTTTAAGTTTTTAGTTTTTTTTGTCCACTCTCAAATTTCATGGCACACCTAAGCCTTTCTGGCGGCACACCAGTGTGCCGCAGCACACCGTTTAGGAAACACTGCTTTAGATCTTGGTCGATCATTCACTTTTCTCCCGTAAGCAATGTCCTTGATATAGCCCACCAGAAAAAGTCCACTGGGGGTTATTTCAGGTGATCTTGGAGGCCATGAAATGGGCCTGATTCATCCAATCCACAAAAGGGACATATGGGAATTTTCTGTCATGCATAAGTTTGCTGAAATGTAAAAGTGCAACATCTTGGAAAATCAGACTTTTATTGAACCTGAACCCATCCTTCTTGGACTTTTTTCTTGTGGGGCTATGTCAAGGACATTGCTTACTGGAGAAAAGTTGACAATCTCCAAAATCTGAAAAACAGAATTGTCACAACTATCCAGACAGTAAGGCGTGACACTCTGCATAAGTTACAGTAAGAACTCAAACATCATCTCGATGTCTACAGAGCCATGAATAGTGCCCATGTGGAATTGCAATGACAGGTTTAAGATTGTTTGAGTTGCTCTTCATTTTACTGTTTTAATCATTTAATTTGAGGCATAATTTAAAGAGGTATTTATTTTAAAAATGTTTCCATACCTTTTGGGTTACACTGTATATTAATGAGTGATGGTGAGAGGATGCTGCACATATTTAGAACCTTTTTTTTAACAGGGAACCAAACTATATTCTCACAGGGAAGTTGACACTTCCCTATGAGGAAATATTTATTTATTTATTTAATCAGCCCACTTCTAACTGCTAAAACCTGTGAGTCTGGTTAGAATTTCAGCAAGCACCATTAAACAGATGTCTTTCCTCAATGTGCAACATCTTAGAATGATTTTTGGGAGGTATTTATCTCATGGAATCAGTATGGAGGGGAAGAAAAATCATATTTGGCCCTTTTTTTGCCATGACCTATTGTTGATGAATTCTTCTTGTGCTCTGCTGCTATATTATTTTCCCTGTTATGAATGCAGACAGAGGAAAAGGCACCATGCAGTCATTGGAGAATGCACATCATGTACCTTTCATTGTGGAAAATGAAGCTGAAAATTATTTGGTGTGTATTTATCATGGATTTAATGCAGTGGTTCCCAAACTGTGGGTCACGACCCACTGGTGGGTTGCGAGAGGCATCAAGGTGGATCGCAAACATTTTCCCAGCATAAAAAAATCACTAAAACTGTATCCACTCAGGATAAAACATGCCCTACAGAAAAGGTCTATCAGTTTTCTTCACGTCATAATTACTTTGAAAATATCTTGTTCTGGATTCTGGTGGGTTGTGAGCTTTTTTGTGCATCAGCAAGTGGGTTGCAATTCAAAGAAGCATGGGAACTGCTGGTTCAAAGAATTGAATCTAATGTCTGTGAAAAAGTTTTGTGAAAAGTGAAAAAGGTTTTTTTCTATAAGAAAAGAGGTGAGAAGTGAGTGGTCACTCAATCAGGTTTCCAATAATCTGAACAGTCATAATTTGAACTTAGAGAGTTGCTGCCTGTATTTGTGCTTCCTGGCTTACATTAACCACATATTCCCCCTTCTTTCTCAGTGCCATAAATTAATGCTCCAGTTGTTCCTCAAGACTGCATGATGTGTGAGGAAAAGTGAGAAATAGCCAAGGATGTGGGAAAAAAAGGAAAAGCTCCAAGCCAGAGACTTGGCACTGTGTCAGGGCCTGGGAGGCTCCATCTGGAATAGCCTGAAAGGACTCTCTAGAACATTAGGTCCTTTTCTCATCATCCCCATGATTCTCTACAGGTTCATCATTGCCTGGAGGGAGAGACAGAACCGCCATCTTCTTTATGGCAAGGTTAGCCCAACATGTACCTGATACAATTGTTTCATCATGCATGATTGTATTAGGGGGAGTGGCCATTCATCAATGTGAGGTCTCAGGTTTTGATTATGTTATAGTGTTGCATTCAATTCAAGCGTTGATGATGGTCCTGAAATATTTCATTTGTATCATCAAAGGTTCTAGAAATACCATTAATGAGAACAAAGCTACAGTAGTGGCACTAGTACTGTTTTTGAAACTGAATACACCAGCAATGAATACAGCATGTTCAGCTGATAAATTTTTTTTATTGCAAATTGTCTTGGTTTTGAGGCAAAACCATAAATTTTCATGAAAAAGTACAGTGTTGCATTTAATATTTCAGGTATGAATGTTATAAATCATAATATCTATAAGTCTGTTCTGACATTACACTCATTATACAATCAAATCTTATTATAATTAAATCCAAGTGACCAGGAAAATGAATTATTATGATGGGGTTTTGTAAACAATTATATTGAGTGATTTACTCACCAACCCAATTGAAGTTCTCATATGTAGAACATTGGAGATACATGTACTTTACAATGTGTAGAGCTGTTATAGTGACTATGTAATCTCAAATGCTATTAAACACAAGAAAGTTGCAATTTTTTTTTTACGCTGAAACAATATCAGACCAGTTCCCTAGCTTTTCCAGAAGAAAACTTCATTACAAAGTGGTTTTAACTTTAAATATGTTTATTATGAAGATGTTCGACTGTATGTTGCAAATCTCTATATCTTAATTTAATAGCATAAAACTAATTTGTTTTATGCTATTAAATTAACTCTTGTTGCTAGTGAAAAATTTGCATAGTATAAAGGAGATTTGAGCAAAAAAGGCTGTCTTGCTACATATAAATTGATCATAACTTACATAACAAGTGCCAATATTATTTGTAATTTTAAGGTGAGATATCTCCTTCCATCAAAATAGGGAGGTAGAAAACCTTAAATCAATCTTCATCATTGCATTCTTTTGTTATCCCAAGTATGGAGTGATAAAAGATGAAGGAAAAGTACTCAGATCCTATTTTTTAATGATTACTCAAAATCCAAGTCAGCTACCCCAGTACCTTGGAACCTGGCTGCATCAATTTCTAGCCTGGACATTTATTGCCATCTATTTGACAGACTGGTAACTCTTTTTGTCCAAGCTTGTGATGTAATTGGTCCGACTCTTCTTTCTTAATTTCATCTTATTATGATCAAAAGCATTAAGAAAGGTATTCCCAGTTTTACTTTTCCTAAGAATTTTACTGAGAATTGAGATTTAACCTTCATCTGTTTTTTAGATTTAATCATTTGAAATGGAGGCCTTTTATGCAACTGCAACTGCAGTACTGTCTCTGCATGCTTCACTATTAATTGAGGAGTTCTCTAGAGAAAGGGCATATATGCAAAAGATGCAATTCGAGATAAGCTATAAAAACTTCCCATAGCTAATCTGAAGCTGGTCAAAACTTAATTATCAGTAAAATGGTATTTTAGACCTTTCTCTAATTGAATTTGAGGTTTAAATGAATTTTTTTATTTGTTTTATAATTTGTTTATTGTTGGGATGGAGGCAGAAAGTGTTTATGCACATATGCCATTTTTTAATATCTGCACTGCAGAAATTTTTTCTGAGTCTTTCACCACTTCTTTCTAGTTAAAAATGATAATTAATCAATAAATACATCTGCAGATTTCAAACAAACTCTTTCTTGAAGAATAGCAATGAAATGCAAATATTCAGGACTCGTTTCATTCACCAATTACTCAGCAGTGATCCATTATTAATGTATTCATCATCTGAATCTTCAACTATTTCATGGATATCTCCAACTTCTCATTGAGTCTGGGTGGCTGATAAAAGCCTCCTCTCTGCTGACAGGCAAATTACCTAATTTCTGTGGAGAATCTGCATCATACTGGGGTAAATGTATACTAGCATGTGTGTTACATTTAGGAGGTACAGGTACAGTTCATCCTAAAAATCACTCATGCCAGTGATGGGCCCAGGCCATGACCTGAGCTTTCATGCAGGACAATGGAGGAGTGTTCCTGCAAGAAAGGCTGTGACGAGGTGTGGTGCCTATGCCAAGTCAGCATCCCCTTCCTTTCTGTGTCATAATTAAAAAGGATCAATTATCCTAACTCTACCCTTCATGTCCTATGAAAATAAATGTTTCTATGGATCAAGGTGACTAATTAGAATTTTAAATTAAGCTAATGAGCACAGCTCAGTGACAAAGTGGAAGATTACTGTTGATAATTGTTTGAGCATTATTTTTTATACCAGGTGGTGATGGTAACTGGAGCAAGTTCAGGGATAGGAGAAGCCTTGGCAGGGGAATTTTACCGGGCTGGGTGCAAGGTCATATTGGCTGCACGGCGTGAAAATGAGCTGGAGCGTGTTCGCAAGTCCATTCTCACATCCCATTGTGTCAGTCCATCCTTTCATCCTTGTGTAGGCTGCATCCTCTTCCTCTGTTTTGAGGAGCTTCTGGACCCAATATATATATATATATATATATATATATATATATATATATTAGGTCCTTTTCCTTCATAGGCTTGAGCTCTCCCAAGCCATGCTCTCGCTTCATTCCGAATTGACACTTGAATTGACACTTCATTTGTTACTTCTGTGAAAATACAAAAACCATTCACTTGTGTACATTATGCAGGATTATAACCACCATTAAAAAGAGGGGGAAAACCTTCCCAGCATGAAGCATGCAGTACTTGTAAATTATATATGAAAAGACCACAAAGTAATTGCTTTTCATACCATATGGCCATACCATCTAAATTATATATCCCGTATGCATATGGTACAATATACATTTCCAGCAATACATATTTTTTAAATAAAAGCATGCATGCTGAGTGTGTATTCACAATTTATGAAAGTTCTTCATAAAAACCATATACTTAAACTAGGTGTATCATATATGCAGGAGTCCATCCCTCAATGTGTATCTTTCTTTTATACTGAATATATATGCTGCCTTGGTATATTTAATATATGAATAATCGTTACATGGATCATATGCTCCAACCATATATGCCTGCATATATGTGCATGCATATTTCAATGCATAATTATATGAAATTATAAGGCACAGATAATTGCATATAACTATAATATATGGTCTTTCCCTATGGGCAGTAATGTTTCTCGCCAACAGATGTATAGAAGTTTCCTAGGAGAAAGGAACCTTCCAGATTATGAAGTCTGGGCAATAAAATGACATGGTTTGCTTGAATGGTTAAGGTATGATTGATGATATGAATATGAGTATGAGATATAGAAAATTTTCAGGAGAGCAAGAATTTGCCCTTTCTTTGCACTGCAAAGTGAGAATTGGGAATTGTTTGGCTTTGCACCTGGAAGCTGAGAATCTCACTTTTCTCCAGGATGACCCAAAAAAATGTAACTGAAATATCTTAGAAGACAATACTGTCAACTCTCAATAACTCGAACCTCTTTAACTCGAATTTCTTGATAACTCGAAGTCAAGGCGTTTTCCTTCTAAATTCTCATGAGGTGCATTTGCCCCCAATTTTAACTTCGACTGCTGTAGGACAAATTTATTGATAACTCTTAATTAATTCCTGTACTATTCATATTTTTCCCATGCAAATACATGGATGAAATTTACATCAAGGTCATCCCATATGAACTCAACCAAGCAATGTGCTCGACCATCTCAGATTTAAGGATAAAAACTCGAAGCAATGGCAGTTGATCTAACATTCCAGGAAAAAAATGGAATCGACTTCATTGGATCTGGGGTTAGTGAGATACCCCCTAACTTAGGGGGGAAAACAGAAAACCCCATGGATGGCTAAATTTCCATCCCAGCAACCTATCATTATATCAGGGTGTGTAATAACTTCAACCAGAGGTCTTAAATAGCTGAACAATTTACTCCATACATCATTTGAGTTTGAATGAGATTTCAGCATCATAGTTGAGTTTGAAAATGTGAAATTTATGCAATTTTCACTTCAGAAACATCCCTATGTGATGAGGGAAATGAAAAATCTATTGTTACAGCTTATTTTACCCCTCTCTGAGGTGTATTGATAAAGTAAGTTACTTTTTGGAATTTTTGTCAGCTACACAGAACATTTTTCACCCCAAAATGTGAAATTTCTGATTTTTGGTCATCTTTGATCAAGTATTTTTCAATGTGATGGAGTGCCTATGATATCAAGAATGGTGTCATTAGAAAGGGGAGTTTAAGATATTTTCAATGATATATGATATTCTGAGCCATTTTTGTAAAAAAAAAAAAATGGTCAAAACTTGCTATTCCAATAATTCCCTTTTTTTTCAAGTGGCTGATATGATCATGTTATGTGTCCCTGTGAAGGTCTTTCAAGGCTCCATATGATGTTTTGAGCAAATTGCATTTATATGTAAGTGACTTCATCATCATGAGAGTGTTGCTCAAACTCGACGTCCCAAAGCATCAGTATGTGAAACGTGTCATGCAAAGAAAATCAGCATACCAACAAGGTTGAGGAAAAATCATTGCACTAAAAACTCTCTCTAGCTCTAAAAACTCTAAAAAATTTCTAGTGATTCATCATGCTGCAATATTCAGCTACTTGAAGAGAAAGTGAATTTTTAGAATATCCAAGTTTTCAGCGGATGCTTTTGGGGTGAAAATTGCCTAAAAGTTGACATTTTCAAACTCAACGGTGATTCTGAAATCTCATGCAAACCACAAGGATGTATGGAGTGAATTGTTCAGCCAATAAAGTCCCCCCAGTTGAAGATATTGCTGGCCTCCATGCATTTAACTGTTTCTGAGATTGGAATTATGTAGTCTATGGGTTTTGCTGTTTTTAACCAAATTTCAGGGCAATATCATGCTAACCATGGGTCTGATGGGCGTGGTTCTCTTTTCCTGGGACGTTAGATCAACTGCAATCGCTTATAGAATATTTTTCATCCCTAAATGCAGTATGATCAGGTGCTTTCTTATATTATATTGGTTGAGTTCGTACTGAATGATCCATCAATATAATTACCCTTTCTTCAGACTCGGTTAACCCAAGAATGTGATGATTCATGTATTCGGTTCCCACCCTGATCAGTTGGGAGAGTCAAGGATGCAATGCAGCATGGGGTGCTTGCACCTGTCCCTTATCCGTACTACACCCTGGTGTCAACTAGTCAGTCAGTGTAAGTGAACCTTGCTGTCAACTACAGCTACAACTTCATGCTATTGAAATTTTGCACAGCTTTGTTGAGGCCACATGTTTTTTGACGCAAGAGACTTTAGATGCAATCGTGCACTTGCAAAATATCGTTGAACGTGAGGGTGCCGCGAAAACATGCAGAACTCTCCCGACTGACTTTTTCAAGTGATTATTCTAGAATGAGTTAGTGTTGCAAATTTTGTATTGTATTGTATGTACAATGTTGTAGAGCATAGAACTGTGTTTCATACACAGGACCATTGTTTTTAATGTTTTCATTGTTCTAGGTCATTAAATTGACAGACATACCAACTCGTGGCACGTCGAACATGTCGACTGTTCCACTTTAAACACAGCTCCATCTTTTGGACAATGTCATGGACCATACAACTACAGATGTTCAACACAAATCCTAAAGATTAATTTAAATGGACTGAATGAAGTCTGCAAGAATGTATTTTTTGCATTGACAACTCTACCCATGGTTCTGAGCTTCAGCACCAACTGCAGCAAGAACTTTGAGAGGATTATTGTGGAACTCAACATGGTGAACAGAGCCATTAGAATCTGTCCACCATTTCCACCTTCACCATGACACCTAAAATAATGTTTGATGTGCCAAATCATTCTTTTATTGTTCACTGCAACATATTGCTTCTATATTACCAATAACAAACAAAATAAATTATATTATTATTATTGATTGCCTTTTTTTCTGGGTCATCCTGTAGTTAAAAGGTGAACATTCTTCAATGGTTTTCATTCTTTAATGTGCAAAAATGGCAAATTCTTTCATTTCTACAGGGTGGTGCAAAATACCTGGCTCCTTACCTCCAGACAAAGCCTGCATAGTTTGACAAAACACCAAAGTTACCTTTGATTTCCTATCATCACACAATATTATGTGCAAAACTTGTTACCAACATGTGCCTTTATAATGGCCTGATTCTTTCAGACCAAAATTTCAATTAATTTTGGAGCAAATCAACATCATCATTCAATGTGTAAGACACCATCATTAGTTTTTCTTTTATAATCTCAATTTAAAATTGATTGTTTAATTTTTCATGTGTCATATCCTTCACTTCATCTTTCACAATTGACCCCACTTGCTTCTAAACATTTTGATTTGGTAAATTCCCTGGCCATTCTTCATATCCAATGAAGTTAATGCTGTCTTGATGGCTTCATGTATTAGTGAGAGATTCAGGGACTGAAAACCTTCCAACTAAGAATCAATATTGCTTAAGATATGGTTCCAGTTCCATTTCACTCAACTTTCATCTGTGTTCAATTTCATTACAATCCACTTTTTTGTGATGAATGTTGCCCCCTTGTCTTTAGCATAGCCATAGCTCAATGTTCATGACATGTTCAACATTCACTGTCACCTATGATGCCAGTCATTTTTAGATTTTAAATTTTGTGAGTAATATTGTATGATGATTAGGAAGAAAGGGTAGCGTTTGTTTTTGGTCTAACTCTGCTGGTTTTGTCTGTAAATAGGGGGCAGGTATTTTGCACCACTCTCTAGAATATTCAGAATTGCATATTTGCTAATTTGTCAGATCATTCACTCATGTAAGGGTTCTACTATAAAACCAAAAGTGGTCATAATTGATCCACTGCTTGAAATGTCAGACCCTGCCAGCCTTCCCTCCTGTTGTGCTAAGCCTGGATCTGAGTGACCTGAATACCCTGGCCTCCAAGGTGGATGTGGCTAAATGCATCCATGGACGTATCGACATCCTGGTCAACAATGGAGGCACAAGCTTCAGGGGTCAAGTATGTGATACTGAACTTGATGTGGATATCAAAGTCCTCCTCGTCAATTACCTTGGCCAAGTTGCCCTCACTAAAGGTCTGTCTGATGGCCATTTGTGCCAATCACACATTTCATTCAGCATCTTTTTATTAGTTTCTCATGCAATGTCAGTTGTGATATATTAACACATTATGGATGGATCATGAGAATTTCTGTGTTTCACCAGCGGATGTTGAGGACAGAACATGGAAAACTACATTTTTGTGCATCATCTCACTGATGTGTAAGCTGCTGCTCTCTTGTGCATTTTATGTACTTCTGTGAAAAATATGTGCTTTTTCAAGCAATGTGGTTATTTTTGTAAATTGTTGCAAAATATCTGGGACAGACAATCACATGATCCATCTGCAATGTGTTAATATACAGGATGATTTTTTATTTGTAAACCCAAACAAATCGCACATTACAAACAAAAGTTTTTATGATGAAACAATGAAATTTGATGCTAATGTTAGCTTAATTATTGCAGTCAGTAACTTGCACTGCAGAATTGCCAAAATTTATTCACTAAATTCTTCCTGACAAACTTTAAATTAACCCTTTTTAGCATAACTTTCAACCACAAACACGTTCTTCTGAGCAGAACACCATCTTGAAGCCCCTGCAGTGCTGCCATCTGTTATCAAGAGATTTAATAAAAGAAAGTAAAAGACTACAAGACTTCACAATGATTGGACTGGAACTTCAAATTTAAAAAATCATACATACGAGTGAAACTCCTTGCTTTGTACTAAGGAAACTGGATCAGCTGTTTGGGTTCACAAATATAGAATCACCATGTATTTGCAATGTATTTGGGAAACTAATTCAGCAAGTCATATTCCAAAGAGGTTATTAGTCATATTCCATTTATGTTCTATATGAATCAGTCTTAAGATCCAATTTTCCTCAGATCTTCTCAAACAAAGCTGATGAAAGTTTTGGTCATTCTGTGGAAGGTATGTCAAATACTGTACAGAAGAGGGTAGAGGTACTTTAGATTCATTAATTTTATATCATTTGTACTCTGTGATTTAAGTTGAATTGACAATATTCAGCATGCATTTATTTAAGAGTGATACACCTCTGAGTATTTGGAACCATACAAATCAATGGGATCTCACGGTCTTATCCAGTCTCAATATGGCCTCATTCAAGTTTGATGTCTATCAACCATCTCTTTAGGCTGATGCACACTGACTGCAAACTGCTGTGGCAAAGTTGCACTGTGACTGTCTGCAAAGTGCACAGTCATTTTTTTATTGTGACTGTATGCAAAACATCTCCCACACTGGTTGCAGAGCTGCCAAACGAAATCCAACATGGGTGTGTTCAATTTGAGAGCTTGTGCTGCAACACTTTAGCTTTTTTGTGGCCCCTAGGGGGAAAAATTATTGACAGTGGTAGGCACATCCTGTACACAGATCCTGTCATTGGATGGGAGAATTAGCAACCCTAGTAGAAAATATTATTGCCAAAGACAAGGAGTGTTTTTCTCTGATGTCCATGAGAATGTCTCCTGAGCTGTTCAAGACCTTTCTTGATCTGCTGGAAGAGAAGGCGGGACACAAACTTCAGATCATGCATTTTCCTGTGCAAATGGTGGCATTGACATTGAGTTGGGTAAATGTATACTTGATACAAATATTCTGTATATCTCAAATATGTATAAATCATGCAGGACACTTCTGAGGTAGGGGACGACTCAGGTTTTTGTACCCAGAGAACAAGTGCTTCTCAACTTAAAAAATTTTAAATAAAATTCATGGATTTAAATGAAGGAAAATAATCAGGAATGTAATAGATATTGAGATCTTTCTATGAGATTTATGTACTATAGCTATTTATCTCATTCATGGTGAATCAATGGTGATTGGCATCATCAACCTCTAAAGTCATTCCACCAAAAGAGCTGCCAAATTAAGTATTCAAGGATTTCATAACTTGCAGTAATAGCTACACAGCACAAACAGATGCAACAGGAAATGACCTATCTGATTTCATTTCAAAGCATACTGCAACCGACTGTGAAGGTCTCACACATCTCTAATGCAACGGATTGCAATGAACTGTGATGGTCGCAGTGGTCACAATGCAGCTCTTCACAGTCAGTGTGCATGGCCCCTTTGCCTCTTGGTTTGAGGTAACTAACATGTCTGGATGGGCTGAAGGAAGAATACCACTGATAAAGTGTTCATGGTCTGCCTTATTCCTCAGTGTTTAGGTGATTTTGATGGTCTCACATGGATTAAATCTCTTGAAATTAGAATTAGGAACCTTGCTACCAATTTCTCACTGCATACTCACCCTCATTGCCCAACCTGTTCACTAATATATCATTTGTACAAACCCATGCCACATGGTGCCACTTGTATGTGGTGAAGGAGCAAAGCACTAGCAGGTGAAATTTGCTGGATGTGTTGATTATGGTTGTGGTACTACATTCAATGTACTGGGATTACCTCTCCTGCTAGGAAATGGGTGTTAGAGGAGTATGCAGATTTTAATAAAGCTCTCGTTTGAGACTTTTATTCATGAAATTTCCATAAAAGTATCAATAGTATGGTACTTCTTTTGAGAGCTTCATTCTGAAATTGGATTTTGTGTAGCTGTGCTGCCAGTGATGCTAAGCCAAGGAGAGGGGCACATCGTCATGGTGAGCAGCATCCAGGGCCGAATTGCCATCCCACAAAGGTCTGATCCGTCCCACTTTGCTTATTTTCGTCTGTTTGCTTCTTTTATATCATCACTAACTTTGATTATGCTCTTCAGTACAGGAGTACACAAAACTGTCCAGAGCTTTGTACTTTATTTTTTTTTTAAATAAGTATTTGGCATATTACTTTGTGTGAGTTATATTAAGATGAACTTTCATTGGAAGTGTATTTGATATGAGGGATGTTCTAGACCAGTGGTTCCCAGACTCCTTTGAATCGCGATCCACTTGCTGATGTTAAAAAATTTCGCAACCCACTGGAATCCAGAATCGACCTTTTCTGCAGGGCATGTTTTATCCTGAGCGAATGCAGATATAGTGATTTTTTTAAACTGGAAAATGTTTTGTGACCCACCTTGATGCCTCTCGTGACCCACAGTTTGGGAACCACTGTTCTTGACCATCATCTATCAATTAACAGAGCCAGTCTCCTCCACAGTCAAATCCAAGCTAGCTTTATGACTATTAAATTAAGCATTCGTTTTGCATATGATTTACTCTTTGCATATCAAAAAGAGTTCAAAGCATGAGTGAATGTTCCACCCTGAAGATGGCACAGGGTATCAGCACTTTAGGCCAGCTTTGCTGATGCTTGACCTATATTAAAATGACTGATCCATTGAAACCAACCAATGCTGCGATCACTCCTATGGGTTTGTACATTATGGCTGCAAGGCACTCTGGTATTCTGATAAGTTATTCATCTTTTCATGCTTTTTTTGAGTCATATGAATGACATATTATACAGGTCAATAATAAAGAGCCAGAACCATATATTATTGACAATTTAGTGCATTTTCCCATGCTTTGAACTCTTTGAAGCATGAAGTTTTATTCATTCTCAAAAAAACCTGAAAGAATATAAAATTATTTCACCATTAAGGGGTTAACCTCCATGCAATAAGCAATGAAAGTTTTATAATAATAATAAAAACCTATGGGGACCACTACCCTCCAAAGGATTAATATCCTAAGGCAGTATTTCCTAAACGGTGTGCCATGGCATACTGGTGCGCCGCCAGTAATGCTTAGGTGTGCCGTGAGATGTGAGAGTTGACAAAAAAAACTATAATCCTAAAGCTAAAAAAACTTAAAAAAGAGGGAACACCATCTTGCAGTGGAAAACGAGCTTAGAGATGCACTATCATGCCTCGTATCAAGCAGTGAAGCAAGCACAAGTTTCCCATTGAAAGTAAGTGGCTGGGTGTGCCATGGAAAGTTCAAGTGTCCTTATGTGTGCCACAAATAAAAAAAGATTGGGAACCACTGTCCTAAGGGGTTGCCAACTCTTGGATTTCAGGGAAGTTAGACTAGAAGGGATCATAAGAAGCAGATTTCCTTTCATGCATTCAGTGTCAAAGGTGATGTGATAAACAATATTCTCCACAGTTTCTAAATTTGAATCTTGAACTCATTTCAGTTTGCCTCATGTCCCCTATTTTAGTTCAAGATCTTTTTTCCGAATCTTCAGTTGTCTTATGTCTATCACATCCAAGTCACTTATGGGAAGTCTTGGCTCTACTGCTCTGCTAAGTTAAAATGCAAAAACACTGAAATGTCAAAGCCTAACCATCTGCAAGTCTCTTGGAGGGGTATGCTTCTGGGAGAAGTGGAATGGTATTACTTATACAGGGTGGCCCAAAAAAAAAGAGCACTCTTTTCAATGCACATTTTTGGTGTGATGCTTTCAAGGATATTTTTTCTGGTTGAATGTAATGGGAAGAAGGAAGATTCAGCTACAAAATGCATTTCTCAGACTTGAAATATCTTGAAGGATGACCTAGAAAAAAAATTGAATATTGGTTACTAAAAATCGGCATTGCGCTCACCAACCACATACGGTAGCAGGCACGTCCAATTGGCCTTGCGATGTCTGCTAAGGTCAGCGTTTTCCTTCCTCTTCTCGTGAGTGCAGGGACGTCGAGTGAATGCTGGGTCAAGTTAGTGAGCGCCACTCCGATTTTTGGTAACCAAAATTCAACCAATTTTTTTCTAAGTATTTTTCAAGATATTTCAAGTCTGAAAAAAAGCCTTTTGTACCAAAAACTTTCTTATTTCCATTACATGCAACCAGAAAAAAAATACTTAAAGCATTACACTAAAAATGTGCATTGAAAAGAGTGCCCTTTTTTTTGGGCCACCATATATATTCCTTCCTTTTTGGGAGAGGAAAAATGGAGAATGGAGCTCCTAGTGAACCCTTGATCAGGATTCCTCATGTCACTCTTGTAGTGGGCAGAAGAGAGGAAGATGCTGTATTCTAAGACATGAGCAAATTAATGTACTACTAGCTTTTTTCCTTGATACATAAACAGGTTTTTAATTGAATTCAGTCCAGTAGCATTCAGAAGAGAATGTTGTTTTTTTGGAATCTCAAATAGCCATGTTTTGCATTAATAATTGTTAATGCATCCTTTCATCAGAGATCCCCAATTTTCTTTCAAATTTTTCATGAATTTCCAAGTGCCCAAGTATCAGAATACACAAATATCCAGGGATTGGATGAAGAATAGGGGATGCTTGCAATCATCAGAGACACAATTTTCTTGTACATAAAATTTCATTGAGTTCCATCTGATGACATTCAAATTATGATAGATACCAAGGGCACATCCAAAAGAGGGTAGTGAAAGGTTCAGGGGATTTGAGCATTAACCTGCTCCAGAAGGTGCATATGGAGAGGGAGGGGGGGAAGGCTAGAAGTGATTGCAGCAGCTTAAAAAGTTTCCCATCTGCAACTCCTCCTCTTCCCCTCCTGCCCCCTAGCTCCTTCCTACCCCAAGGATCTCTTCTGATTCTATACATTGAGGTGCTCTTCAGCTGAAGAGCACCCCAATGTAAATAATTATCATTAAGAGTTGTGTTAGCATTCAGCTTCTCAACCTTCATTTGAAAAATGTTCTTCAGCTGCAGTTTGAGCATATATTTGCTAAAAGGATTAAATGAGGAACTCTAATAATGTTGGTAATTGATATTGAAGCAGGCTGGTAACTGAAATGTCAGTGTCAGGATCTCAAATTTCCTCTACAGGTATAAAATGTGGACCTGTTGCATGAGTTGAACAATCTTGTTAGTGCAAAATGAAAAGTTTCAGGGATAGAAAGTGAATCATGTGAATCCACTTAACTCTCATGTCCTAATTCGAATTCCTCTCTCTTATACATTGGACAGGATTATATTTTGCACAATATTAATATCCAAGGTTGATGCCTATTAGAATGTCAAGCACTCTCAAAAAATTATGCTTGTTGATATCAAGAACATTTTCTGGTGGTTGATAAGGCCAATATCATTTCACATACATATTTTGGCCTGAAGTTCCATTAGAGGGAGAAGCCCTTACTTATGCATTGGTGATCTGTTTGCAGGTCCTGTTATGCAGCATCAAAGCATGCATTGCAGGCATTCAGTGACTGCCTGAGGGCAGAAGTGGAAGAGAGGAACGTGAAGGTGACCGTGGTGAATCCTGGTTATGTGCACACCAACCTCTCCCTCAATGCTCTTACTGCTAAAGGCAGCTGCCATGGAGGTCTTACTATTCTTTCTGCTAGTGTTTTCCATTCTTGGGCCTATTGCCATATATGGCAGCGAATGTGTTGATGGGGTCTTCATGGCACCCTCTTGCTCTAGCCAAAGCCCCCTATTGGGGATCACTTGATTGCAAAGGGAAAGATCTGGGGGAACTGCAGCATGACATGTTCAGAAACATGTCACATTTTCAAGGTTGTTGAATTGTTCATTCACCTCTTGCCTACCTCTAGCCAATAATTTTATTGAAGAGAAAGAAGTAATTGACTTTGCAATACCCAGAGAGCATCTGCTGATATAATAGCTGAGCAACTTGCACTGATGGCAAAGAGGGGAGAAAACCAACAGCTGATTTATTAATACAAGGGTGGTTCAAATTTGATTTGGACTTTTGTTTTATATGTGTAGTACGGTAACATATATAGATTAAAAAATGGGGGGAAATTTGTCTTTCTAGTGGTTTCAATCCATATCCACAATTATTGGGTTTCCTGCTTCCACAGCCACCTTGTCTTGCAGCATGTGGGGTTCATTCTGCACACTTTCATATCCATCTTTAACCCTTTATGAATTAGTGGCCACTGCTAGGCACTTTTATTCAGGTCTACCATTCTCGTTAAACAGACTCAAACATAGACTGTTTTTGGGATTGTGGTCAATTATTTTGCCATCCTTCTAAAAGAAACTAATGCATTTGGAAATTAGTATGTGCTTCATTTCTAGTGCATAAGCCATCAATTATTGATATATTTTTTAATTTTTAAAATTTATATCAATAAAAGTTTTTTCTTTTAAAAGGGTTAAGTAATTTTCACCAGTCAAATAAGAATGTCTTTGACAGCAAATTATCACCACACTCTGCAGATGACAACTTGTAAATTTCTACTGGTTTGATGTTCTTGTTGATGAAAAAAAGTATTCAGTTACTCCTTTGGTACCTCAATTGCCATCTTGATATTCAGCTTATGTTGTAAAGCAGGAAACCTGTGATTGTGGGTTTGATTTGCCACCACTTAAAAAACAAATTTTCTCCAAAGTATTTTATCTTCATATATTACTCTGCCGTTTTATAAGGAAGCAATGCCCAGGTAAAATTTGAACCACCTTCATATTTTATCTTCACATCTTTGACATCCCTATTCTTCCCCTGTCACCCCCTTTTGTCAAGAAACCAAGCCAAAGGTCTATTTCCTCCATTAATCATCTTATGGTTCAGAGAAACTTGTTTTTTCTCTATACAATGACTGTACCTTGCATATAATTTATTTTTTATTGTTCCTCATGTAACTGAGGAAGTTATTTATTCTCATTTTCGTGCCTCATTTCATGCATTGCTTTTGCTTTTGTGGTCTATTGCTTGGAACATGCTCCTGTGAGGTCAAAGACACCATAGAATTAGTTAAGAAGTGCTTGCCTTATACAGTAGCCACAATGGCCCCAGCTCCATCACTTCATTTACAGTCAGTCACTTTACAGGAAAATACCTTCATGGGAAGAAACTTCAGTAAACTGGGAAGAAAAGTACTGTACATTAAAATTGGAAAAAATACCAATGATGTAATGTGTCTGTTCCTTACAATAGCCTAAACTTCTGTTGAATTGCAAACTTTCTCCTGGACTGCAAAGAAACATTCAAATATGGGAATCAACAAAGATAAATCACCTCCCTGAAGGGCATCCCTCAAGGCACCTCCTGAATTCCATGTCTAAACTTGTTTTGAGCATTGCCCATCAGCTGTTGGCATGACACATGAAGTTATTTTTAAAATTCACACTTGCATAAAGATAGGAGTGTTTATGCAACTATAGCCTTTAACACTCTGTTGGATGTTTGATTTTTTATTGATTTTGTTCACTTTTGCTCACAACACAATATTTTATAAGGTAAGGGTATTTAAAAAATGAGATCTTTGCTTTTAATGGAATAGCTATACCCTTGTGGAACATCAACTGATGACTGACATGTTAATTCATGCAATTCATTAGAATATATGATCTGCTGCCATGACAACCCACATAGCCCAAAGGCTATGATAGAATTTCAGTTTGATTGTTGATTAGAAGTGTTCATGATTTAAAAATCATGGTAATGGCTTTCTTTTGTAGTGATGGATGAAACAACAGCTGAAGGGATGTCACCGGAAGAAGTTGCTCGTGAGATTGTGGCTGCAGTTGTCATGAGGAAACGGGAGGTTACTGTGGCAACATTCCTCCCAAAGGTTGCTGTCTGGATTCGTACTCTCTTCCCCTCTCTGTACTTTTACATCATGCGGAACCGAGCAGCACGCCTCCGGGAAAAAGAAGAAGGACTCGAGAAGACGTTCACTATCAATGGGATTCCTTCTTGACATGCTCAATATCTACTATTTCCTATTTTCTTTATCATGTCTAGTCACCTTGCTATGCAGTCCTGGGTGTGATATTTACCTAGAATCATAATATTACAATTTGTCTACAATTTTTTCTATGGCGCAAGTTCTGGTTGGAAAAATTTTTCAGAAATGCCATCTTTCCTGTTATCCAATGATGGGAGGCTGAGAGTATGAATATGTTGGTGTATGCTATACACTGCATGTTTCACCCCTTTCCATTTAATTTTAGGCATGTTTTTCTGTTCCCAGGTGGAATGGATTAATAAATGGATGCCTCCATTTGTATGTGCCAGAGTTTGCTTAATTGTGGTCACAGTAACAGGTAATCAGAGGGAAAATGCATGACAGACACATTACATCATTGGTATTTTTTCCAATTTTAATGTACAGTACTTTTCTTCCCAGTTTACTGAAGTTTCTTCCCATGAAGGTATTTTCCTGTAAAGTGACTGACTGTAAATGCAGAGATGGGGATAGAACCAAGTTACTCCTTGTACTTTATCCAGAGGATATGAGGGGAAATTAAGAAAGGACCTCCCTCTTCTATGTTTAGGTGATGGCCATCCGACCACTCTCACACTACCTGTACTATTCTCATGGTTGTAACAAATGGCCCTGAGTCTGGTTTTGGGGGACCTCCTGTTGCTTTAGTTGACAGTCTTCTCATGGCTCTCTCACTGGTTATGTCTTAGGTGGAACATAGAAGTCCCCATTGACCAGTCTTTCAGGACATGTTCATTGAGTCCACCCTTGAGTGCATGGAATCTCCAGTGAGAATTCTGTCCATGTGTGAGGCATTCAATGTTTGTCTCTTCTGGAATTCTTTTTGTACCGACTCTGGGACTTGTACAGATCGTGACATGGGTGATACTTTGTTCTCCACCTCTGTCACTTAAACTCACCAATACTGATATAAAATAAATGAGTAGTTGAACTTACGAAGGCAATCTCTCATTCCCTTAATGCCCATAATGAGAGACATAGCAAAACATCCCTAGAGGAGTCCCTCGAGATAAGGAAACAAGTTTCTACTGCTCTTTGTATCATCAGAAGATTTTAGTCTCTTGTCCATTTTTTTATTTCCAATTTAATTTAAATAATTCCTCATTGCATTGCTTTGGCGAATTTGACTAAATTGCAATGTTCAATCGGGAACATGTCAATCACAGTTCAAGCTAAGATATGCAGCTTCAAAGTCATGGATTTTTTTGTTGTTGCCAACACTAGGATGTTTGTTTAACACAGTGGTTCTCAACTTTTGGTGTGGGCATAGTTTTGTAGATCCCTAGGGTCCTGCAGACAACCATTTGAAAAATACTGGTTTACCATGAATTGAACGCAATGGCCGCATGAAACTTTTTTTTTTTGTGAATGATTTCATTGAGCACTTTGGGTCATTTTTGAAAATTCCTTGGGTTCCAGTAGTATGATGGGTAGCAAAACAGGAGAGTTAGCTGGAAAACCCTTAGTATGAATATGGTACATGGAAGTACAAGGTCCTATTGGCCATCAGCTCCACCTGGGAGTGGAATCCCCTACTCCCAAACTTGTCTGTGCCATTCCTGAACTGGAATGCACAAATCGCAAGTGTTCCAGATTCGCATGGAATTCTTCATTGGAGCCTATACCACTTCGATCGTGGAGATGCCAAAGCCATTGGAGTTTACTTTCACAAACTACAATCACAGCAAGAAAAATAATCCATGTGTGCAATACATTTTTTTGCATCACACATTCAGTGAAAATCAAAATTAACTAATGACTAAGGTGACAATGAGAGGGACTGGAGTAAGCAAGGCTTTCATTTATTCCCAGTTGCATTGAAGGACAATAGAGGAGAAGAGAATGGAGGGACAATTTTGCCAAAGAGTTGCTTCAATTACCATAAGTGATTTTTTTTGCATCCTGATAGCTGGTAGGCATCTCAGGGGTAGCGGAATGACTGCTTCTCATGTGACAGGAGTTTTTCAGTTGGAGGGAGAGGGACAAAGAGAACAAGAACTCATCTCTCCTGAATGAATACATTATAACAAAATCGAATCTGAGTAACATAATTCGTAGGCCTCTTGGTGTTTCCATCTGAATGAAGAAAATTACATGAAAAACCACATGAACCGTTCTTGCTAAGGGATGGGAAGTACAGAAACAAAAAGGGTAAACTTCTAGTGTGTGCTGTTCACTTAAATAAGCAGACAAGAAAAAAGAACTCAAAAGGATAAACGATCTTCTGCGAAGGAAAGGATTCCCCAAGGAGGTGTGACCCGAGACCCAATCGCCAAGTAAGGTCGGATGTTCCGGAAAGATGCAAGCCGTCAGAGAACCTTCTGAAGTTTCTCCTGAACGCCATCCAGGACGTTCTTCTCGATGGCGACACGACGGTGGAAGACCTCGGCAGCCAGAGAAACGGAGAGATCCAAGGGTTGGGCGATACTAGCAGACGATGCGATCGTTTGAGCAACCCTTCCCACAGCCACTTCCCAATCCGCGAGAAGCGTCGGGCACGGGCATCCGCTCCCGTTTTTTAACACGTCTTCCACAGTGACCAGGATCAGCAGCACCAGAGATATCCCTAGCTGTTAAAAGGTAGGGAGAAAATACAATTCAGAGGTGGATCAGGAACTCAGGAACTTAAAAAAAAAAACCGCTGGACTCCCATAAAATCTGAGTGCTGATTTTTAGTGACCCTTTATAATAAAGTGCAAAGTTACCCAATTTTTCATTTGATCATACGAATCCTTCCACAGACAAACCATAAGGAGGTTACGATTGCTCAAACATTCCCCTTTGTTCATATATAACTAGTCATTCAATGGCACTCTAGCTACCCATTACCGGTTGGCATTAGGATTGCCAAAAATATGGTCGATCTTCTCTCCTTTCTTCATCTTCACTAACAAAACTCAATCACGCAGTGGTCACCGTTTTCTATTAGGTTACCAAAAGAAAGTCAACACTCCCACTTAAACATATGATCATCCGGGTTCTGGTAGTTACAGGGTTAACAGTTTGTTTCACCTCTTCATCCCCAAAGAATCTCTTCAAAATACTTTGCCTAATTACTATCGCATGTCTTTATGAAAATAAATGTAGTAAACTTAACATGTTTACGGCGCAGCCAACACAAATGGCTAAATTATTGCATAATATTCCATTAGATCCAGAACGGTAGTTACGGGGTAAATGCGACGTGTTTCACAAATCTACTTATATGAAGGAATATTTAAAAATTACCATTACGGGACTTTACATACCAAATTACCGAATATTCCATACAGTTTTGCTTGTATATTGGATACCAGAATTATTTTTACATTGAGCACATTGACCGCCACGTGACACGCCAGCGTGTCACCGCGCTTGTTTTGTACCAAGCCAAGGGTAGAATCGTCTATCCTTGCGGTTATGCGCACTTAATCGTATCGAAAAAAAGTGGCTGTAGTACCAGGAATGCATAAGGACGTCCTATGATGATTGTCACAGCAACACAGCAACGTCATTTGACCGCCAGCGGTCAAATAGCGTCAGAATTAGCTGTTACTTCTCACGCCATATGATCGCCGGCGGATACACAAACGATGCCCTTCCTCCTTCCTTCAACTTCTATCTATTGATGCAACTGTAACTAAATGTATGAAAGCAGTCAGTCAAAATTTCTTGGAATATCGTAATATCTGCAAGCTTGGCAGCACGTGTTGCCAAGCTTGCAGATATTACGATATTCCACCACCTAACCACCTAATCTATTGATTCGGTGGTTTTATTTGCTTCCACAACATCCACGCTTCACCTCACTTCCAAGGTTAGTTACAACCCAGAAAATTCTAAAGTGATCGTCGAAGCAGATATACAGTAGGCCTAGAATTTAAACCACGTTCCATTCCTTATCTCATTTCACCTCTCGTATTTCATCAACACAGGATGGATGAATCACCACGGGCAAGAAGCATGATACCTGCGCTCCTTTGGATGATAGTGATTACGAATTAGAGGACTCGGATGACAGCATAGCTGACTATCAGCTGCTCTAGCGAGCTCGAATACAAAGTAATGAATATAACGGAGTTCCGAGAGAATATTAGAGAGAAACGGTTACCCGTTTCTCAGGAGGACGGGGACGCGAACGTATTACTAGGCGTTCAAGTTCTAGATTTTCGAATGGCAGTTTGGCTACGCGTTCCAGATCTGGAACGGAGAGTAAAATCCACGGATCTCACCGCAGATGGTGTGCAAACGACACCTAATTTAAGGGTATGGTCGACTCAGTGATACAAAGCTAAGGTACAACCTGGTAAACTCACAAATCCCCATATATTCAAATGTTATGAATTTCCCCCTTGGTTTGATCTACTGCAATTAAATTCTATCTCAAGAGTTTTCACAATAGGAATGTATGTCTCAGTTTGCCTATTGGACTAACGTTCTTGATTCCTTTGTCTGTTCATCATGGTCGCATGTAGACATTGCCATCCTCCATTACAACCATTGTCCAATGTAGCCATTACAACCTCTGTCCTATTTTCCCATCATTCACCATCCCCAATAACATATTATGCTTCCTTTCTGTCCGTCTCTCATGGCAAAGTAACCGAAGTTCATGTCTGGGTTTCGTCCTACTTCTCTGATGGCGAAGAGGACATGTCAGTTGCTGTCCTGGGGGATATTTAGCTAAAACCCAAGTTGTGGATGTGAGACAATTGTCCAGAAACCCATCTCGAGCAAAACGTACATTTCTATCAGTCGGGAAACTCTTGCTGCAGACGCGAGACAATTGTCTAGAAATCCAACCCGGGCATACTGTGCCTTGAATTTCAGCTCCTTCGCCATCAATAGTAGCTTTCCTTCCTGGATGACTGACTTGAACGAATCACGCGTTGTACCGAAGCTCACGCGCCTATCAAGTTGTTCCTGATTGGTGGATCTTGTGTCGCGTTCACGTTCCTGAGAGAACGGCTGGAAGAGTTCCTCCACGTCTTAGACGTCTTCCTCACGCGTTTTAAAACTGCTGGTGACGTCACCAGTGACGTCAGCCGTCCTACATCCCTTGCCGTCCTCTCAAGAACGGATAACCAAAACTCCCTATCATACAGGGTGTCCCAGAAACACCGCCCCAAGTTTTATACATCATTATGTCCTTTTTTTCTGATGGAAATGAGTTGATGAGGTTGTGGATGTTAGGGGTTTTGTAGCATACACCTTCTTATTCAAAAATCCCCACAACCAGAAATCACAAACCGTCAAATTTAACAGCAGTTGTTAAGAAAGGTCTAGGCTTTCGAATGATACAAAATTCATTTCCATCAGAAAAACATAAAGACATAATAATGTACAAAACTTGGAGCGGGGTTTCTGGGACACCCTGTAGGTGCCACCTTCGCAGCGACCTTGACAGGCACCCCAATAGAACCAAATCCCCTTGATTTTGAACAATCTCCTGGTAACGTCCACAAATTGGTGGAAAAGACGGAGAAAGACGAAAGAAACCGAAAGTCCGTGGTCGTTGCTATGGTAAAAATGACCGAGGAGCATGGAAGCAAGGTTCTCTCTTTGCCAAGTTGGCAGAGAGTGCAGCAAATACCCTGGCAAGCCGTTTGCGTGCCTTCAATGCCTTGGTGCTGTACATAAGTAGACAATTTTGAGTTTTGAGGGATATATCCACGCTTGGTGCCTCGCATTATCACTTTCAATGATTTGGAAGTCCATTCTTCCTTGATGTAATGCAAATAGCACTGAATTCTACGTGTATTACCAAAATTGTTAGACGATAGTGATTCATTTGGGTTTCAGAAATAATCCCCTAAAAATTAACAGTTCATATCTTTGTACTGTAATTCATGGGCCCAATAAGTGGCCAGGGAAATGAAGTTGGCATTCTTGTGGCGTCACAGTATAAACTACAAGCCATTCCAGCCAAGCCAAACGCTTCGAACACGGTTTTAAATGTAGGGCTGCTTACGACACGCAGACGGCCCCGTGGCGTCCCGAGAAACGCGCAGTGTGACACGCCTGCGCGTCATGGGGCGCCATAGGAAAGAATTAGCAAAACTACATTGGCGGTCGACATGTTAACCCGTTTTATTAATCCGTTTTTATTTTCCGAATTTTGAAACGAATTGGACTACAGTTCACAGCATACACAAGAGGCATGGAAGCAAGAACTACGACTAGCAAGCAGTTATTTGTCACTGTCAGCTGCTTACTATACTGCTCACTGTATCACTCGACAACACGCTGGTCTCGGACTCAGCTGTGTTATTAAATGGATTTTCTTTTTCAAGTTTGGGGACACTTGGATGCAGATCTGGAAAATGTTCTGGAGAAAAGTCATGCTATTTTGAATGAGACTTGCTTAAAAGTGGATTTAAATTGATATTTAATGCCTGTGCAAAATGACTCCATGGCTAGTGACAGATTAATAATCACAATTTAAATTTGGACTTCTCCCAATTTACCTCATGTCTGACCCTGAGTTTCGAAGTTACAGCCATATCATTATAATCCAGAAAATATCATCGCCAGCATTTTTATCCTCCCTTGATTTGGCACTCAACATCCTTTTTTGTTTATTTGATCTGATATTTTCTATTTTGATTAGATTCTTATTAACCAAAGGTCTTGTGCCCTAAAATGTTAGATTCTCTCCCTTCAATAGAGACTGGTTGGAACTGCAAGAGATTTATTTCAATTGCTTAGCTACGTCATGCTCGTTTCTCTAGAGAAGTTATTTGGAATTGATCAGCACTTAGTATTTATGAGACAGACCATTAACAGGTCAAACATGATTGGTTACAGCCTTGAGCTAGGGGGAGGAAATAAGACAAACCTGATGCATGAGCATGTCTTCTAGATGGTCCTTGTCAATGGCAGCTTTGAGGAGAGCAATGAGTTGAGAAAGGGTGGAATCTAAGAGAGCCTTCTTTAATGGGATGAGGAACCTGGGCAGGATCTTGTCCCCGGAATCCCTCTTGGCAATCGGGGAGAATCCCAACAGGAAGGCCTCAAGGACAAGACGACGGAATGAGCTAGGAAGAAGCCCTGCCAGCCGCAGCACCAGGTTTTTTCCTTTCCGCACCAAGAGTAAACTCTGGATGCTCTTGAGTGCAAAGCGCTGGGTCAGCTTCTCTGCGAATTCGGTGCGCTGCACCCGAATGTTGTCTCGCAGTGGGCCATCTTGGATTGCACGTAGGCGATCATCATAGGACTCCAGGTCCAGCAAGGCATTGTAATACTGCAATGCAGTTTGAGAGAAGATCAGCTTCCTTTATTTTCAAGCACAACAAATTTGCATACTCTTGTATGAAGACTAATCTGCTGCTCTTTAACTTGAAGATCATCCTGCATAGCTTTAAGAATAATAAAATCTCTTCCCATTCTCTCTGATGCTAACATCAAAGAGGACCAGCTACTCAATAATTTCTACTAAATGCTTCATTATAACCTGTTCACATTTGAATAGGAATCGGAAGACTCAAAGGGAGCTCCGTTATAATTTTACTTGGAAATTCCCCAAAGACACATGAGTGCTGAGATTAGCTGAACAGACGCCTGACTAAAATATTTGATTGAGATGAAAGGGGAATGACTCACATTCTCAATTTCCAAAAGGAGGGAGTGCTGAGAGTGCGAGGAGACAGTGGCAAGGTCAATAATGCGTCTTGGAGCCATTGCACTTGCCACCTGGAGGCGCCCAAGAGAGTTCTCCATCTTGGGAGGAGTGTACACACGATTCTGATCTGAATGCTTCCCTTCCTCTGGGGTTGATAGGAGGGACGGTGATACTGCTTCTTCCATCCCATTCCCATGTTCTGCCAGCCGCTTTGCCACATAATGCTGATCCAAACGAAAAATATATATAAATCAGGTTTAACCCTATGTGCAAGTACTGTAATAAAAATAACACATAAGGTTAACAATGACAATTAAAAGAGATTTCATTATAAATTCATTTTGGGTATCATCTTTTATAAATCTTGACAGAAAGACACTTTCATCCTCGAGGCATAATGGCCATGACTGACCAATCCAATATGGTCAACCAATTATCATTAATCCAAGCATAAGCAAACAACATGATTTTGTTTGGATTGTTGAAAACCTGATTGAGTGACCAAGTTCTCTACTTCTCAGCTTTTGCTTCTCTGTTTCTAAATAAGAAAACTCTTCACAGCATACTGCACCATGCTTTCAGTCATTTGTCTTTTTTCTTTGTGCATACTAGCACTAATCCTTTTAACCAGTCACAAAGAACATATTTCACATTGCCCAGTTAATTTCATGCAAGAAATGTGACTGAAACACATGCTTCAAAGAAAGCATGGTGCTTTCCTTGGAAGACAAGGTCCTGACAAGAAAGAGCTAAAGATGGCTGCATCAGCAGAAGGGATTATTCATTTATGAAGGGAGAATGCTTGTCCAGTAATAAGATTTCTATACCCCCCTCCCCCCCTCTTATTGCAGGAGAAGGAGCATGCTTCATTAACACGTTGACCGCCACAGCAATGCTGGCCTATTGATTTTCCCATTCAGTGAAGCGCACCGGTGCGCCTCATGGTGGTCAACCTGTTAAATATTAAGAAGATACAAATGAAATTCACTTCCCTTCTCCAATTTTTACCTGAGAAGGAATAATAATGGAACAATTACACTAACAGCATTTCTTTTTTCCTTACAATAGCCTAAACTTCTGTTGAATTGCAAACTTTCTCCTGGACTGCAAAGAAACATTCAAATATGGGAATCAACAAAGATAAATCACCTCCCTGAAGGGCATCCCTCAAGGCTCCATCATAGCCCCCCTCACATTTGTATGTACCACTGACACGTTAAGAAGCACAAGTGAAGGCGTCTTTCTCCTAAAATATGCTGATGACATTGCAGTTGCTGCCGAGGACTATCTAGCCAAGTACAAGGAAGCTATTTGTGCTGTCAGTTTGTTCGCCAAGCAATGAGGTCTCTATCTGAACCTTTCAAAGATGCAAGAGCTTGTCATCAATTTCTGGAGATCACAACTCACTCAAGACAACCTGACTCATCCAATTGAAATCGACTGCAAGGAAATCCAAGGCAATGACCATACCTGGGGATAATACTGCAAGATGGCCTGAAATGGGACCTGCAGGTGAACAAGATGACACTCACTAAAGAAAGCCTTCTATGCCCTATAACTTCTGAAATCAGCAGGTGCTTTCAACGCACACCACCTGAAAGCATACATCTGCTTCTTTTGCCCTTGTGCAGAGTATGTTAGTGTTATATGGGGTCCAAACTTCACAAAGACCCTTTCAGATCAACTGGATAGGGTTAACTGTACCACCCATTGATTGTGCCATGGGCAGACATGTGCTTGCAAAGACTGGGAGATGCTGAAAATAAGACACCAAAAACAACTGGCATCTATTGCAAAATTCACATCTTACTGTGAGGTACCAAAAAAATACAATACCTACTGTGCAATGCATCTTCCACAAGAATCATAGGCACTGGCAGATTAAGACATGAACTGCTGAACTCTTCCACTCCTTCAAGACAACCTCTTGACACAAGTGATCTTTGGCAGCTGAACTTCATTTCTTTGCTTCCCCCACCCTGCACATTCTTTTATCTTATTTATTAATTTATTGACACCTTATTACAGTGTTTCTGCTTCCAACGCTGACTGCTGGTCACTGTACCCCAAAATTCCTTCATGGAAAATAAAATGATGATGAATAGTGGGTGGGACTTTTTTGGAAACAAAAAAGGGTAGGTTCTATAGGGGGGAGAAAAAAATGGCTAATTTTCAATAATCATAGGAGATTAGATTCTTTATAACTCTTCCATTCCCAATCACATACCATTAGACTTATGCAGAAGTTGGATTTCATGGCAAGGTCAGAATTTTTCACACCTCACCTACCCCACTATTCTTGGATGTCAAGTGTCTTTAAGTATAGTATAGTAATAAGTCAGAATTTGGTGCACATCTGTGGTGCTAGTAGAAATGAAAGGAATCCTTGTAGGAAGCCACTCACATTGATGTAATAGTCATCAGTGTAAGGGTCATTAGTTGCAAGTTGAGTGAGTTGGATGTTGACTAGCCATGTCTGCTCCTTCAAGGTCATGAGTCCCTTGTACTCATCCCACTCTTTCTCTCTTGGCTCAGGTCTCTCATCTCCATTGTGGTCCAGGATATGCTCATTCTTCCAGCTATGAGGGGACCATGGAGCCCCATTTCGCAGCTGCAGCAAAGGGCGCTGTTGCTGGTATCCTCTCATTCTCCAGCTCTCCATCCTCTCCCCTTGTCCCATCAAGGCTTCTGTCCAATTGAAGATATTACACATCCTTAACAAACTTGAAATTTTCCTCTGACAACTCTGCCCAGCAGTTGTTAGCATTGCATCACATATTTTGACCTCTGCACAATGAAGGCATGGAAGATAATGTTCATCACATCCAGATCTCTGATGCTAACCCTAGCCTGACAACAATATACATACGAGGGCCACTCAATAAGTTATCTACCTGAATATGAAAGAAACATCCAAGGGGAAAAATAACACTTTAATTTTCAATGTAGTCACCTTTTAACTCAACACACTTATTCCACTTTGATTCCAAGGATTTCATTCCCTGGGAATAGAAGTTAACTTCTTGTCCATCAAACCAATCAGAAACGGCAACTTTCAGCTCTTCATTGCATGAAAATCTTTTTCCCAGCAAAATTTTTTTCAAGTGTCTGAACAGAAAATAGTCACTAGGAGCCAGATCCGGGCTGTAGGGAGGATGGTTGAGCTCCTGAAAGCCATACTCCCTCACTGCTGCCTGAACTTTCCATGATTTGTGGACCGGTACGTTGTCATAGAGAAGAAGGACCCCCC